GTTGTTGTCGTTTTGTTTGTTTTTTTAGTATTCATAAAATAGTTTATCTTACCCCACTCAAGTTGTTTCACATTCTCGAAATATACCCTAAATGATGCAGTTAATATTAATGTTTTGTTGATGTTATTGTTGTTGTTATTGTTAGAATGTTTAGTTTTAGTACTAAATTATTCATTAAAAATGATTGTTTATATTTCTATTTAATTAATCAGTTGGGTAATTGAATATAATGCTGAATTGTAGTGATTAATTATATAAGTACACTATTATTATAATTTAAGATGACTAAATTATTGTAGACTTATAAGCAAAGATAGTGGCTACAAGTGGAATGCAGGGCGCACGTTTCGTCTTATCTAGGACTCGTTAGTTGGATGTCCCTGATACCCAGAGTTGATGTTCACCCCGAGACTCTAACCTAGTAACGTTCGCTTCAAATGTCATCGCGTTATCCACTTATCTATTGAGTCCCAGAGTGAATATCAACTCTGGGATGCAGGTACATGCAGCTTACAAGTTTCAAATAGGACGAAACGCGCGTCAAACCGGATTCCCCTGCTAGCAACTATCCATTTTTGCACATAATGTTTGTGACTTAAGGTAATATGTACATATACTAATAAGAGACTGATCGATTGCATTCTTGAACGTCAATTGGAAGATCCAAGTAAACAATACTGTAGATCACCAACGTATATGATCTATGTCGAAATGATTGGAGGCCTACTCGAGTTAGACATGAATGTTGTGACAAACTAGCTAACGTCGAAGTCACACCTCATGGTTAGCACCTTACGTGGACTACCCCAATGACGTATCAAGGTAGGGTTTAGTGACATTTCGCTGGCCCTACAATACCAAGTAAATTTATTGTATACTTAATTTTCAAAGGAAATGTTTGTTCATGTTATATAACGATATGGTAAACTTCATTCTTCATTTAATTGGATTGATTAACAATATTTATGAACAAAATATGGAAAATATTAAACTTGAGAAACAAGAATAAGCTGATCTATCATTAGGATTTTTCTCTTTCAATAATCTGTCTATCAAACAAGCTCTAGGAATTGTGGTTCAAAGTTTTTCACGGCTAAATTACTTCACAATGTTTATATTAATTTTAGTTTCAAGATGCATAGTTACTAGCTAATCAATTATTTTAAGGTTGGTCAGGAATCATTGCGAAATTAAGTGAAAAATAACCGTTTCATAAAGAATAATGGTGCACATGGGCTCCAGTATCCTGTGGGAACAAATGGCGTATGGACCAATCGTTGACCACCGGCTACCATGGGAATGCATCTCCTTACGATGCTCCAGTGCCTTGCGGATCAGACCTTCAGGTCGCAGGCTCGGGGAGTGGCCCCCTGAGAAAACCACCTGCTTCGGTTTGGGCACGCATGCAGTATCACAGCCCTCACACACATCGAATGAGATTTGTGTGGTGCATATTTATTTGGTGCCTCCAATATCTATGTGTTAAAATAAAATAAAAAAATAATAAATACATAAAGAAAAATAATTGTGAACCAATAAAAAGAAAAAAATATTAAACTTACTATTATGTCCACGTTGTTTACAGTCTACAGGTGAATAAAGCGGTACTATATCTGTAGAAAGATGAAAATCACTTTTGTGTTCATGTTTTCTTAAAAAAATTTAACTGTTTTTAAACACTGTTCTCCCGCCTATTCATTGTAAGTGACAAATTTCGGACGATAATGTAACTCACCAACGTCATCATCATCATCACCATTATTATTATTATTATTATTTTAACCGTGACAAATAAATTCATCATAAGAGTGATACTTTCAACCAAACAAACAATAGTATAACTTACCAGATTGAATACAGGTAAGTAAACGTGTTAACTAATGACTCGTTATAAAGTCTTTACTTCGCATGAAAACTTGCAATATGATATATAAATGAGATTAATTTTGATGATTTGAATAGATGGAGAAGTATTATTGTTCACTGTTTTTATTTGCTATATAAAACAGGGTTAATGCTAGAGACTGTTTCTATGCTCATCACTACATTCATGTAATATCAAAGTATACATTATCTATACAGAGTTTTAAATGAAAGAGAATTTAGTTTGAATTTACCTAGATATCATAACTTTTCTGTCAGAATAACTGCCTTAAAGAATATATTGTTGTAGAAGAGTTTCAGTTTAAGTGACTTATCTTAATCTACCATGATTATAGTCTCACTGTACTAAGTATGACAAAATATAAATATTTAAATGATCGATTGAACTTACATGAACAATATTGAATCCCTTTGCCCGAAGCGCTTGAGCTTCCTAAATTAATAGAAATTAAAGAAAATGTAATTAATGCATAAAACCGTACTGTACTCAGCTGATATTATGAACTGAATCTAAGACCTTCGACCTTGCACTCGAACAATCCATCTCTAGATCAATAAACCAGTATCCAGTGGTGCCATTATTTAACTTCAATCAATCCACGATATTGCGTAACTGCCTCCCATTGACTTCGGTGGGTTAGTGCCTCACACCTTACACGGTTAAGTTCTACTGGCCACAGCTTCTCACTAGAGCTCCGGAAATTTCCTTTCGAATCTAGTCACTAGTAAGCACGTGATAATTTTCAGTACAAGGTTGTAGAGATCACTAAATCTTGTTGAAATTATAAACCGACCAATGTTACACCACCAGTCAAAACCTGTAATGCTATTGGCGATTTAATTTGGAGTCTTCCCAGTTCCACAAAATTATTGTGTGGTTTCTTTGTGCACCTAATCCGAGTAAATATCATGGGTTGGCACTGTAGTTTTACCATGCCGTCATAGTACAATAGAAGAACTCCAAAGAGTTTTAAAACAACACAGAATTAAAGCATATTACGAAACGACAAACAGAATTGTGTTTACAAATTAGAATGTGCTGATCGTGATGCCTTTTATATCGGAGTGTTATCTCGTGAAGTCTCGACTCGAGTAAAAGAACATCTTAGGTATACAAAGAAACCGCCTAATAATCCGATGAAACTGGAGAGATTCCAAATGAAATCGCCGATAGCAGTCTATGCCATTTTCTACAACTATCAAGGCGATACTGAAAATATAAAAGTAATTTAAAATGACTTTTCCAACTATAAAGAAATTCGAGTAACTGAAGCTTTCTATATACAGTCTAATTCTAATTCTTTCAATAATGAAGAAGACCTCACTATCCATTTGACTTCGATAATCTATCTGAATTACCATGTCTGTTTCTATTTACATCTCACATCATTATCGTACATACAAATTATACTCTATCCTTTTGCACCACAAATATCACATTTTTTATCCTTTAACACACAGTCCTACGCACAAGTACTCAAACATGCTTCACATAAGTCAACATGACCTGAATGACATGACATGACTTGATTAGAACTGTTCCTGATTGATCACACTAAATACTCCTGCTTTATTTCTTTGAACAATTTAAACTTGATTTGATTTAATTTGTTCATTTATTTTTTGAAGAAGTGCCTTACACTGAGTGACGAAACGTCAGAAAATTTAAAATTTTTATTTTTCTATTCATTGGGATATTACAAATATATTACTTTTATTGGTAAAACAATATTTGATTAGCCTTCATTACGTATTCTAGTTACACACATTCTAGTAGTATTACTTAATCATCTTAAAGATTGATCTCAAAAATCACTAATTTCTATTGACGGTTAAGCTTAAATACAAGATACTGTATCATCATATAAAGTTTTGTTGACTGCCCACCATTATAAACATAATAAATTGAATTACAACTAGAGAACAATGAAGACTATCGATAACAAATATTTTCACTAATGTAGGTCAAATGATTACAAGAAACACCGGAAATATCTTTATGATCTTTTGTAGTAATCAACATTATATAAATTTGAATTAGAAAAGTTCATTAACACTTGTGTCAATCAAATAATTTCAGATATGGCGGCAGATAAATCTTAGTATTTGACATTTAAATATGATTCTTCCATAACTCTACATATCAAATGGGAAACTTATTTAATTATAAACTTGAAATATTTTTTTCATTAGCCAGAGTTCTTGTAAATCATCCCGTTTTTTGATATTTAAGATTGCAACTGATCAGTCATTTTTGTCAAATATGTACATTCTGTGCGGATCGCCTCGATTTTAACACTGCTATGGTGTAGATATTAAACCTTAGTCCTCGTACACTGATCTGATAAGTCCCAAATGGAACGAAATGTTCATACTGGATTTCACTACCGAACTGTGCTTAATTTGACAATGACAATGTCAGGGCAAACTGCACAAGATGCACTTTTGGTATAAGGCATCTGATCAATTACATCCTTTGAAATTATCAACGGGAAGATTCAAATGATCCTTACAATTGAATTAAAGTATGTCGGTGTTACACAAGCCAGTAGATATTTGGACTTAGTAATTAAATGTAAAATGCTCAATGCGTTTTATATAAAAGTTACTGGGTTCGAGCTCGTATGGATATCAACACGAATGCAGATATATCCAGCTGACATGTCCTAGAAAGCACGGAACACGTGTTCTGGATTGCACCACGAGCCACTTTCCAACTCTGCTTCCAAATGTTTATATCTCCAATGGATGGCAAATAATTTGTTACACTTTATTCTGAACTTTTGCAAACAAGCAAAACGAAATGATTTACCTTAGGTTGTTGATACCATTTTTATATAACATAAATCGTGTCAAACTATCGTAAGACTCAGATTTTTCTAACCTCAACTCACTTATGTGTCCATTTTTGGATTAATGAACTAAAGATTTTGTTCCATTCAAATGATTATCAATTATTTGTTAAAAGCTATTATATACTAAATTGTAACCAAAGAGTATGATTCGAAATTTTCAATATACCACTGAGTTGTTTTATTAATCAGTATGGAAAACCATCAGTTATTGTGACATGTAATTTATAATACAATTAGGTGAACAAATGATCAAAGAACTTACTTAATGTACTGTTACCTACACATTGAAAAAGAAGATAATAATCGCTTAGATACTAATATTATATATAATCATTGAAAACAACATTCAGACTGTATGTGAAGTGTTATCAAACAATTTATAATATTTGTTTAATTCAGTGAAATATTAAATCCCATATCTATCTGCATAGAATATTCCAAGCAAAGTACTAAACTGATTATTCATTATCGGAAAGGGGTCTCCAGTAATCTATCATTTATTTTGTCAGTTAAAGTAATTTAGAATACTTATTGTGTTATTATGTTAATGAATAATTAAAGTTATACCACCATGGAGAGCCTGGAAGCACTGGAATGCCGTTTCGTCGTAGTGTGGGACTCCTCGGCAGTACGCATACACGATCCCAATCGCGGGACTAGAACACAAGACCAGTAGAATTCAACCGGGTCTGTTGTGAGATAGTAACCCACTGAAGACAATGCTGAACGGTGGCTCGATTTCGTGGATTGGTGAAAGTTAGACATTAACACCGATGGGTGCCAACTCGGTGGTCTGGAAGTTAAGCGTTCGCTTGCGAGACCGATAGTTCCTGAGTTTGAATCCCGCGAGGGGGTCGTGTATGTGCACTGCTGAGGAGTCCCACACTACGAGGGAACGGGCGCTCAGTGCTTCGAGGTTCCCCATGGAGGTGTAGCTTTAATTATTCATTAACATTATAACATAATAAGTATTCTAAATTCTTTTAACTGATGAAATAAATGATAGATTACTAAAAATACGATAGATAAAGTACTTCTGTTGACAAATTCACTAATATACTATGCTGAGTTATAAACTATTAATTCAATAATGTCCAGTAATTCACTAGCCTACATCTATCCTTAGTGAAATTTACTTCTAAATAGATTATTTGTTTATTTGTATACCATTTAACAAGATATACCTTCCAGGAAAAGTATTTCTTCATTATAAGCAAAAATGGAGAGTAGCTAGAAGTGGAATCCAGTTGCATGTACCTGCATCTTAGAGTTGATGTTCACTCTTGGAATCGAACCCAGTACCGTTCACTTCAAACGCCATCACATTATCCACTTAGCTGCTGAGTCTTTATAGCCACTTGCTTGTGCAAAGTGAATATATTTCTTTATTGCTCTAACATGACCATACTAACTCCAATGTTTTATTTGACTAAAGAATTTATATTGTTTATTTAATCTATGTTTCAATCAATTTAACCTTCGAAACATTGTAATATAGTAATAATTATATTCAGCATTGATCATTTGGCAGAAATTCATCAGTGTAAAGAACTGAAAAGGTTATTTCAATAAAAATCATAAATATATGAATCAAAATATACAATTTAACTTACAGTCATCATCTGTAAAAGGATTACATTAAAAGCAAAATAGTTTAATTTAGATGCAGAAAACTCTCATGGTAACATATAAGGCATAACTTTAAAACAATCGATTTGATGTTTTTGATTGAGATCATGAATCCATTGATATCGGACCACCATTGTAAACCTAGAAGTACTGAACGGCCGTTTGGTCCTACTATGGGACTCCTCAGCAGTGCGCATACTGCAGATAATTTCAAATGGTGGTTATAGCAATTATAAATCATAAGATTTAAAGTACTAGGTCTGTGGTGTGTGCTACTAGTGGTGCACATCTAAGTAATATATATTATCAATCGAAAGTGAAATATCTGGTGGCAGAAGGTTAAGAGGATCAAAGGAAAGAGAATGAGAACAGAGAATGATTGGTGTGGAAACGAGAGAACAATCAAATTTGAGACAGTTGATTGACATTTTGCAAGTGAAGTATTTACTATATGGTTGTCGTTTGAAGCGAACGGTACTAGGTTCGAGTTCAAGAATGAACATCAACTCTGGGATGCAGATAAATCCAGATGACGAGTCACAAATAGGACGAAACGCGCGTCAAACTGGATTCCATCTTTGCTTATAATATTTGTGGATTAAGGTAATATCGAGCATTCTGAACAGTATGCACCTATACCAATAAGAGACTGACCAATTGCATTCTTGAACATCAATGGGAAGATTCAAGTAAACAATACCATGTAAATTTATTCTGTAATTTTGTATTAAAATACATTTGGTCATCCCCACCTTAGTTCTCGTTCACTAATAGTGGAATGGTATAACAGATTTTCATTTGAATGAGATGAAGTAAACTTAGAAAAATACGAATCTATTAATTAATGCATTCAAATATGATACAGTGTACGTAATCATAAACTGTATATCTATTTTGGTTCAAATAAAAGTATATTAAACAAAAAAAAAGAAAACGAGCAGTGTGTAAAGTTTAGTCCAACCAATAAAGAAATTAAATCCTGTCTTTCCAATGTATAGTATTATTCATTACATTAATGCCTGTGAACGTTTATATAACGAAAAGTCTTACATAAGTTGTAGAATTGAATAAACAATTAATAGATAATGATGTATATCAGTAGTAAATTTAATGTTTTTATCTTCATAGATCGTAAACATAAGCTGAATAATTATTAACAAGATGTACCAAATTACACTGATTTCATCTTATTCTACAAATCATATTATTATTGACTTGATAGTGTGTACTATGAAGATCTATTAACTCCGCCTGGAGCCCCTCTGCGGGCTACTGCCGGTCCCAAACCCGGATAAAGGAGGAGGGTTGGGCATGGTGTTAGCGACCCCATCCTATAGAAAACTAACTCGCTAAAAGAAAGCCAGCCAGAAAAAAATATTCGAACCATTTAAACTCTGCCCTGGGAGTCAGAAGGTCTTCAGTTAGAAGAATTATGATGCCTCGTGATGAAAGCCGAGTTCCTTCGGAAGTCACGAGAACGATTCCCCTTCTGACAACCAGAGCAGACATTTAGTCAGGTACATGGAATGCTCGTACAATGTGACAGACCGGGAGAGTCTTCCAAACTTAGATGGTGGTTGGAGGTAGTCAACAGGAAACCCTGGACCCGGGTTTCGTGCTACTTGGCACTCGTCAGCAAGGTGTACCTGTAATCTTGAGGGAACTGGTGCTCCCTGGCGGATTCGACCTCGTGTCACCCAGCTTCACAGTCAGAGACGTTACCACTGAGCTATCTGAGCCGTGACTAACCTCCTGTAGGACTGAGATGTAATCACAATTGATTGATCACTGGGTGGTGATCAATGTCATGCTTGTCTAGTCCTTATTAGTGCAGATCGAATGCTATCGATCGTGTTGCAATGTGGCCACCAGTCTAGGTGACTCGACACTGCGGGCACTATGTATTGAGATTTAGATGGTGATTGGACCACATTGCAACATGATCGATAGCATTCGATCTGCACTAATAAGGACTAGACAAGCATGACATTGATCACCACCCAGTGATCAATCAATTGTGAGTCTTCCAAACTGCTGCAGCATGAAGATCTATTAAGTAATGAAATACTAGTGTTCTAGTTTATAATGTAGTAAGTAAACATTACAAAATAGTAATAAACACTATATATGTATGTATATATATGAACTTACTTTCATCTATGAAATAAAGCAGATCAAAGCAAGAAATCAGAAACCGATTCAAATTAACATACTAAATATCTTTTATTTAACTGAAATTATATACTTTGTGAAGTAATCATTATTCCGTTATTCTAGAATTATATATTTTTAGAGTTTAATTCCAAATAGTTGGTTATGATTATGATTTTTTTTCATTTTTTTAAAATACTACTGAAAACTTATAGAATTAACAAGCATATATCACAAATCTGTTTTAAGTATCAGAATGGGGTATTTGTGTGTGTGTGTGTGTGTGTGTGGATATTATAGTAATTTTAATAGTTGAGATCATGAGTCAATTGAAGCTAAACGAAACGATCGTCCAATCCTTCCAGTTTTTCCATGATGATCTAGTTTCAATTGACTCATGATTTAAACAATTAAAATCTGTTATCATTGTGAATATTGTGAATTTTATACTTAACTAATTGAAAAGAGAAAACTATAAACAAGCACTCAAACATAAAATAGAGTGTAAAAATCCCTTTCATGTAATCGATTTAAACATAGCTTCTTTCCCACATTCAGAATCATCATAATGAATAATTGAATAATGTACATGGTAAGCAAGAAGATTCATTTGTAATTTATCATAATATAGACAATATTTTGGTGATTTAGGACGAAAAAATCATTTTCAGAAAATTTTCATTAAATGAAGAAAATATATGGTACATAAAATAGAGCTCTTTCGAATACCGTAAAAATAATTACCAAAATATAATCACATATTATTCAAGTAACATATTTCTATTTCCTAAGCAACACCGTAATCTAATAGTTGAATTCATGAGTCTATGTAATCTAGACCATCATTGAAAACCTGGGAGCACTGGAAGGCCATTCCGTTTTAGTATGGGACTCCTCAGAAGTGCACAACTACGATTCCTCACGCGGCGTTGGAAAATAAGACCTTCGGCCTCACGAATGAAGGCTTAACCTATAGACCACCGAACTGGTATCCAATAGTGTTAATGTCTAAATTACATCCAACCATGAATCGCTGAGCAACAATTCATCCATTGTCTGAGGTAGATACCTGACTCTACCCGATACGGACTGGACTCCATTAGTCACAACTTCTCACAAGAACCCTAGGAAATCCATCTTGAAGCAAGTGACTAATGAGTACTGTATTCATTTCCAATCGAATTCTACAGCAGTTAGTCATCACAACGTCATACATTTAGCTAATCACGTTTTGTGGAATCACAATGCTTAAAAAACAATTGACTCATGCTCAATCCGTTCAACATTCCCATGATTAATTCTGTCTACAATACACACATTATGTGTCAATCGTGAACACTTTCAACAAATCTAACTAACAAATATGTATTGATGGCGTCGTTAATGACAGTCAATCTGTGTTAGGATAGTCGGAAAAATATGCCAATAATTATCGCGTTAGGTCTACGGTGGCCTTAGACCTTAAATGTACATCTACTATTGGTCGATGTTTACTTCACTTGTTAAATATTGTACAAATGTTGTTTCCTATTTTATGGTACGATGTGGTATGCTTGATTGGTTTATAAACAAAGTATGTTTGAAATATAATGATTCATAACTCAGAGGCTGTGACTTGTGTTCTTGACTAAACTGGCTGGGACAGACAGCGAATCAGGGCCATTCAGGGCACTAGGTCGTTCACTACGTGTTCTCCGTGTCACTAATCGATCGATAAATACGCTGCTTATCAAAAACCTGCAGTCCCCACACGTTACAATCACAATAATTGACATATTGAAGTGTAAAATATAAAATTGGAATGCATGGAAATGCATGCTGAGTGAAAACATCAATTTTCAATTCATGGTATTCATTTCAAGTGTGAAATTTGTTTCTATCTGTTCGATGTGATGATCCGGCTGACATATGACAGATCAGGTGAATGGAATTACACCACCTTCATCTTACTCCACAAATTGCATTCCATTCACATTGAGGAGAAGTGCACATCAACTCGATCAATTGTATATGTAATCACTTTCCATTGTGCAGTGCACACGCACACACATTGTTTCCTTCATACTACTCATCACAACACATATATATATAGGTATATATTAGTAGGTATATAACAGACAAAATGAACTTACTTCCATCTGTGAAAAAAAATCGAAACAAGAAATCACATCAGATATTTGAGTAGTTGTACAACTATTATTTATTTGTATGATGTGGTTGAGATTGGTGTAAATTATGTATTGTTCGTCAATTATAAACATGGATTTCACTCATATCACCAAATTTGAATGATTTCATTCTCACACTAGAACACAATTCCAAATGTACAATCACTTATCATCATCATCACATGAACGTTTAATGGGATTCGGATGACATTGTCAGTCGATGTGACCTATCATCACTTATCATCTGACAAATGAGCTGTTCGTCAACCACTACACAATCAGCAACATATTGAGGTTTCATCAATCAACACAACCTTTGTTATTTCATTCATAACCATCTATTCTTAAAAGTATTCAAATACTCCTCAATAAAGTCATTCTGTTTACACATGAATTTGAAACGTGAATTATCTGGTGCATCTTAATTACAACAACCAGTGACCAACAGTACACGATGTGTTTGATTAGTAATATGTGCGATTCACCTATCTGACTACTCATAGTGTGCAATGTCACAATAATAAACACTTGTGCAATTGAAGTGTATGATATATATGTCGAAACTTCACTTAGTTAAATATTTGTAAATTTGTGAAGTTTGACTAGCAGTTGAGTTGTTATGAATGTATTAGAAAGTTTATAACAAGAATATGTGTAATATTGTGATGATTTTGAACGTACGTTGTTCGTCTTCTAAATTGGGATTAAATCGAATATTTAAATGATATTAGGATAGTGATAATTGTGATTCGACTAAATTAGTATTTATGATTTGAGCTTTTTAAACCTTGATTAGGCCTTGTGGTTAATATCATGTTTCCTCAGGTTCGTCATACGAATAATCTTTTTAATGTAACAATTTAGTTCGTATATGGTAACTAATTTAATTTAATAAATGACTGATCACCGGGTGGTGATCAATGATATGTGTGTCAAGTCCTTCGTAGTGCAGACCGAATGCTGTCGACCAAGTTGAAATATGGCCACTAGTCTAGGTTACTTGACGTTGCGCGCACTAATGTTGAGATAGGTTTTTGGTTAGAGGTAGTCAACAGGAGACTCTGGAACCGGGTTTCGTGCTATTTGGCACTCGTCAGGAAGGAGTGCCTGTAATCTTGAGGGAACCTGTGCTCTCTGACCGATTCGATCCCATATCACCTAGCTTCACAGTCAGAGACGTTACAACTGGGCTATCCGGGCCGTGACCGACCTACTGTAGGACTGAGATGATTGGTCACTGGGTGGTGATCAATGTTATGTTTGTCAAGTCCTTCTTAATGTAAACTTTTCCATTTATTTCATTTTCATGGTTAATGGTCCGGACAGCCCAGTGGTAACGTCTCTGACTGTGAAGCTAGGTGATATGGGATCGGATCCGTCAGAGAGCACAGGTTTCCTTAAGATTACAGACACACCTTGTTGACGAGTGCCAAATAACATGAAACCCGGGTCCAGATTTTCCTGTTGACTACCTCCAACTGCCATCCTATCTAATTTGATTTCATATAATTTCTATCAAACTTTTTTATGAGTAGCCGTCAAAAGTCAATTCTTGTTTCATCCTACATATTTGTGTAATTAAGAGTATACTAAAATGACATCCGTGATGTAATCCACGACTTAAGCTGAACAAAAACCGCCTGTGGAAGTACAGTGACACTGATCCTGTTAAAAGATGATAATGTTTGATGGATATACCGTACATCAGTTTTATAGTGTCGCTAGTCTTTTTACTTATAAAATGCTTATGACTTAATGGTGATCTGTATGGCAATATGTACAGGATCAATGGAAAAATAAAAAAAAACCAATACTACTGAATTAAAACCATAATGTTTTATTCTTTTTAGAGCAAATAGAAGAATATTTGAAAGTGTTTACTAGTTGTTCAAATATTCATTAGCTGAAATTTTTGTTAATTTTCAAAATGAAAAAGTATGTTGCCTAATTTTTTCCAATGATCAAAATCATCAGTATTTACATTGTTTATGTAGTGAACGAGAGCATAAGTGAGGACAATCAAATGTATTTGAACACAACATTACAGAATCTCTTAGTAAAATCTAAGAACCATATCGTATCAGACTTGATTGTTACTTCGTTTCCAAATCAATCATTCTCTGTTGTCATTCTCTTTCCTTCGATCCTCCTAACATTCTGCCATCAGGTATTTCACTTCCCATTGATAATATAAACTACTTATATCTGTCGACATCAGTAGCACACACCACTTATGTAATCAACAAAACTGAATTATAGATACTAATTCAAAATTACTACTAATAGTCATGCTTTAATTTTGAACATTGTTCTATACTATCAGTTGTTGATCATCAAGTCAAACTGATAATTTTTACAGGGATAAAAGATTCATCATATACATTACATAATAAATATGTTTATTTGTGAATTAAATATGATGAATGTCTATTGCCTTATCGATGTTTTGATAATTTCATTCATACGACAGAAAATCTAAAAGGTATTAGAACTTACTTATATAACTAGATCCTGAAATTAAAATGAAGGATAATACATGTAAATATTGTTATTGACTAAAGATACTGAACTAGAATAATGAAGATGTATTTTATTTACATGATTCTATATACATATACTTTCGTGACAATAGTTGTCAAACTGAGCTGAATGGTTTTCGACAAGTACCATATCTTAATTGGAGTTCCAGGAAAATGAATGCATGATATGTAAGTGCTGATAATCAGGTCATACTAAAATCAGGCTGAGTTATCTCAAAAATTGTGCAACTTTTCACAAACAAACAACATTTTCAATGAAACAGACTTACTGCATATGAAAGGAGAAGTTTGAAAATATTTACCGTCATATCAATAAATTTTGTTGCTAACGATTTTAGATGATAGCGGTAAGTTTTAAAATATTCTGAGCAATTATAACAAAAACGCCTGGAGTCCCCCTGGAGCTACTGCCTGTCCTAAGCCCGGACAAAAAGAAGGGTTGGGCATGGGGTTAGCAACTCCATCCCGTAGAAAAATAACCCACTAAATAAAGCTAACCAAAGTAATTGTAACAAAAGCTGCTGACAAATCGTTCCTTACGTATCTAAATCTTATATCAGGTCTATTAATCATTTTTCCCTGTAAGTAAAGATTTTGAAGTTTTCTTACTCTCTCGTGTCCGATCAATTTTTTACTTAAGGGTATGTTTCTAACGTTTCATTATATTTTCTTGAATTTTCTTTTAGTCAGTACTGCCGATTTCCAGGTTATATTATTCTCCTATGTTTATATGTTATGAGAATAATACTGACCGATGATTCTTTCCACAAGGGACTAGGATGTGAAATTTGTAATAAACTTATGGTAAACGGTTGTAACTTCATCATTATTGAATAGAAAACTATCCATTTACTGTAAGCATTGGAAAATACTACCGATTTCGATTTAGTGATTGACGCTTCTGTTATTAATGATAAAAATGTAGTGATTGGACTATTTAAGATCTTGTAGTTGTATGACGCTAAATAAACCGTTTTTATGAAGAGATCTGATGGCTTTTAAAAACATTTAGCTCAAGGGACTTAACACTACTGAAAGCATTACCCTGAGCTACAAATTTATGAAGATCTGATTTCATCAACTTTATTTTTATACCAAAAGCGATTCAACACGAAATCGCAAAAAATGTCACAAATAAACTAAAAGATACGTTTCCCTAGGAAGACTGAATCGTACAAGTAGATATAATTTCTTGAAAATGAACAATCATAAAGTGTTATACAGTTTCTTGGAGTCTATAGCCTTCACTAATAATAGAAAGATTTGATAAACTAATTTACAAATACAAACAATCGTTAGGCTTTGAAGCGTATCTAACAAAATCATTTGAACTGATTATATATGGTGACATAACTATTTCACATATCGGTAGTATTAATGTAAAGACACGGAATTAAACTTTGGCAAAATTTTTCTTGTATTATAACAAATTTGTATTTATTACTCCGAAAATGAAGGAATTTAAGCTGAAATCAATCGGGTATCGGACAAAGTCTTTATAATTTTAGTACACTGAAAATGTTCGTCAATAGGATTTGTTGCATAAGTGACGATCATTTGTGTTGTAATTTATTCATTGTATCGTATAATTCACCATACCGACGACAAAATGTTCACAATAGGCTACATAACAATTAGGAAATAAACAAAGATGGATAGTGGATAGCAGTAGAATAAGTGACACGTGTTTCGTCCTATTTGGGACTCCTCACCCCTATTGCACAAGCAAGTGGCTATAAAGACTCAGTAGCTAAGTGGATAATGTGATGACGTTTGAAGCGAATGGTACTAGGTTCGAGTCCAAGAGTGAACATCAACTCTGAGATACAGGTATATCCAGCCGACGAGTTCCAAATGGGACGAAACGCGCGAACTGGATTCCACTTCTAGAAACTATCCATCTTTGTTCAGAATGCTTGTGAATTAAGGCAGTATCGAGTAATAAGCACAGTATGCAAATATACCAATAACAGACTGGTCAATTGCATTCTTGAACATCAATTGGAAGATTCAAGTAAACAAAACCAAGTGAATTTAAATAGGAAATAATTTACAAATATTTAAAAAAACCAACAGAACAATTGAACTTACTTCCATCTGTAGCAAAACAAACAAATGAAACAAAGACCTCATGATTATTTATGACGTTGGGATTTTATACAAATTCATTTAATTCATTCTATTTTCAGTATGAGTTTATGGAGATTATTAAGTTTTTGATTGAGATCATGAATTGATCGGTGTGCAACTGTGGATACTCACTGATGAGGAGTCCCATAATAGGATGAAACGGCCATCCAGTACTTTTAGGTTTTCAATGGTGGTCTAACGTCAATCGGTTCATTATCTCAATCATTATATTTTATTGAATTGTTATACTTTTAAAGCTTTTACAATTTATAATTTGAGGGAATAATAATTCAGTTATAAACTTTTATTATGCATAATTTCTTATTCCAGAAAATAAATAATTTAATGTACAATCACTTTTAACATTGATACAGTTTCAAGTGCGATACGAATCTCAGTCTAGTTTTTTGATAAAATATTTAACTACTACTGATGAAACATTTCATATAGTAATATGTTTCGTTATTATGTGTTTTCTTTAAGAACCATTATTCGCTTTTACAAAATGAAGAAACTTCTTATATCTAAGTACTATGATAAATAGTAACGATAATACATTATTATGCATGCAAACCCCACTCTGATCATAATCATTATGTGCTCATTAGTGACTGGTTCCAAGATCATTCAATGGAGTTCTAGTGAGAAGTCGTGACTAGTGGAGTCTAACCCGTTTCGGGTAGAGACAGGTATCTACCTAAGACAATGGATGAATGATTGTACAAAATCATGGATCGATGGAAGTTAGACGTTAACACTGCTGGATACCGGCTCAGTGGTCTAGAGTTTAAGTGTTCGCACTCGAAGCTGATAGATCCTAAGTTTGAATCCCGCGAGATGGGGTCGTGAATGCACACTGTTGAGGAGTCCCATACTAGGACAGAATGGCCATGCATAAAACATGTAAGCAATTTAATTTTAAACATAGCAATTATTTAAAGCTGCTAAAATTAATTTGAATTCAAGATAATGAAAATGTTAATAAGATGAGGATGATAATGACTTAAAATTTCAACATACATTGATCACTTTCTGAATAGAAAGAAAAATCAATTACATAGAGTTACACTGAACTAACAGAAAACAACATTTACAAATTAAAGTTCAACTTTATGGATGACAAGTAATTGACATTTATATAGTCAGTCTAAAAGATAGATAATAGTAACTCCAATATTAATGTATGGTTAAAATGAAAGTTTTGTTTATTTAACACTAATTATCTCTCATGTATAAGAGAATAATAACTTCCAGGTCTTCATTGGTTATCTTACAAACACTTAACTATTCTATGTAATAGGGATCATTTCAGTAGGATATTAAACTATATTTAGTTCACTTTCAGTTAGAATCGAATCAATATACGATACTACTAATTCGTAGTTAATAAATGGAGCTTTTGATTATGTTCAAATGACAGTTCTTTAAATTAGAACAACACATATAAGCGAACAATTGTTTTCAATTAGATCATCATCAGGCTTTACTCCAATATACATGAATATCTATACGAACCAATCAATCATCTTATTGATAGCATTCATACTGTAGATAAATCGGAAGCATTTCGAGTGATCTATCGTATAGCTCCATCATTTCCCAACGGAGTTCGTTCCCGCCTCCTACATATAGCTGAAGCCATAGGAATTCGTACATATAACCCCAATTTATGTGTACAGCAGAAATTCGTAACCCTCATCCCTTCCATGGCCAGTTATAACTTAACAAACGATTTTTTAAAATTTTTGTTATTATGATTTATTTATTTTATTCTATTTTTGTTATCGTTAACCTTATTTTCACATCCATTATTTGTACGTAATTTTTCGCCTCTTGCCGTTTGCATTCTTCACTATCTAATTATTTGCACAATTCTTATTACGTAATGATTTTAATGTTTTGTGATGACTATCCTAAGTCTATTTACCCACGTTTGACCTTCTATTTCCAACGTTTAACTATTGATAAGACTTTTGTTATCGTATTTTATTATTCTTACTACTAACAGTACACTTGTCTTCTTACTATCAACTTGTACTTTTACCTATTATATGTGGTGACTTATTCTATTTCATTGTGATTATTGACCCACATATTGCCTTGATTGTCTTAACATTTTCGTATAAATATTTGAGTAAGTATTTGAGAGTAAAGCCTGATGACTATCTAATTGAAAACAATATTGTTCGCTTATAAATGTTGTTCTAATTTTCATGATGGAAATCTTTAAAATTCTCTAAATGTTATGTTATTCTTTATTCGCTTTCTAACTGAAAACATTGTACTTTTGTGTCTCATGGTAACTATCACCACTATAATAAATAACACACCACTTGAACTTACTTATATAACTAGCTCCTGAAATTCAAATAAGATAAATTAAACGTATTATATCATATTCTATAACTATTGAATATCAATTAAATGATAATGTACTAATTAACAGATAGAATATTTCAGTGGTTGAGATCATGAGTCAATTGAAGCTAGACCACCGTGATAAACCTGGAGGCACTGGATGGCTGTTTTGTTCTATTGTGGGACTCCTCAGCAGTGTGCATCCACGATATAATGTTCTTATTATAACCTTCTTAGTTAAACAAATAACGTCTAACTTTCATAACAATATCTAATCCCCTTTTAAGAGAATAGTTAGAATTCATCGCACTGATAGAAATGAAACATTTTTAATCAGAACAAGGTAAATAATCTACCTTCATATCATATGAAATCATAACGTCTACTCAGTTATACTTCAGGGTCTTTGATAAAAACCTAAACAGAATGATACATCCGATAAACTGTTTGTATCGCAATTACTTTCTATGTAACGATATGCGTATATCGTTCTATGTCATGTTTATACTGACTAACAATCTATCGAAAAATATTATGAATAATGTTAGTGATGATTTGTATATTTTACAAAACAAAAACTTTCTTGGAACAGTGTTGAATTTGTATTAGCCAACTGTTAATGAATTTGTAGTTTCAGTGAGTAGAAATAAAGTGTAGTAATGAATTTAGAAGACGTTTAGGAAGAGATTGAAATCTTGATGTGAGGTGAAGAATCTTCATCGTCTAAATCAACAACAGATATTAGATAGCTTACTACTTACGACCACTAATCATTGAATAGTATAGAACTTCTTAGAAGTACCCATTCAAGAATCTTAATAATTAAACAGACGAATGAAATAACACAATTTTCATAGTATTCGATGAAGTACTTCTTCGTACATTGAGAAAAAGTATTAATTTGCGTTTTATTCAACAAGTACCAATTCATTTTCTAAACAATAATGTATTCATCTTCAATCGGATTCTACAGTAGTTAGTCACAACAATGTCATACATTCAGCTCATTATACTTCGTGGAATCACAATACTTAAAAAACGACTGACTCATGCTCAATCCGTTCAACATTCTCATGATTAATTCTGTTTACAATACATACATTATGTGTCAATCTTGAACAATTTCAACAAATCTAACTAACAAATATGTATTGATGGTGTCGTTAATGACAGTCAATCTGTATATAATCACAATGATTGACATACTGAAATGTAACATATAAAATTGGAATGCATGGAAATGCATGCTGAGTGGAAACATCAATTCCCAATTCATGGTATTTATTTCAAGTGTAAAATTTGTTTCCATCTGTTCAATGTGATGATCTGGCTGACATATGCCAGATCAGGTGAATGGAATTACACCACATTCATCTCACTCCACAAATTGTATTTCATTCACATTGAGGAGAAGTGCACATCAACTCGATCAATTGTATACGTGATCACTTTCGATTGTGCAGTGCCCACACGCACACACATTGTTATCTTCATACTACTCATTACAATACATATAGGTATATATTTTTTAGTATATAACAGACAAAATGAACTTACTTCCATCTGTGAAAAACAAATCGAAACAAGAAATCACATCAGATATTTGAGTAGTTGTACAAATGTGATTTATTTGTATGATGTGATTGAGGTCAATTATAAACATGAATTTCACTCTTATCATCAAATTAAAATTAGCTCATTCTCACACTAGAACACAATTCCAAATGTACAGTCACTTATCATCACCATTATCATCATATGAACGTTTAATGGGATTCGAATGACATTGTCAGTGGATGTGAAATTCTGTGACCTATCATCGCTTATCATCTGACAAATGAGCTGTTCGTCAACCACTACACAATCAGCAACATATTGAGGTTTCATCAATCAACACAACCTTTGTTATTTCGTTCACAACTATCTATTCTTAAAAGTATTCAAATACTCCTCAATAAAGTCATTCTGTTTACACATGAATCTGAAACGTGAATTATCTGGTGCATCTTAATTACAACAACCAGTGACCAACAGTACACGATGTGTTTGATTAGTAATATGTGCGATTCACCTATCTGACTACTCATAGTGTGCAATGTCACAATAATAAACACTTGTGCAATTGAAGTGTATGATATATATGTCGAAACTTCACTTAGTTAAATATTTGTAAATTTGTGAAGTTTGACTAGCAGTTGAGTTGTTATGAATGTATTAGAAAGTTTATAACAAGAATATGTGTAATATTGTGATGATTTTGAACGTACGTTGTTCGTCTTCTAAATTGGGATTAAATCGAATGTTTAAATGATATTAGGATAGTGATGATTGTGATTAGACTAAATTAGTGTTTATAATTTATTCTGTTGTAATAATGCTAGTATTTGCACTTACGTGAATGGTAGTCATTCGAACCTCTAGTATTTACGGTGCCTAAAACATCACAAAGCAATCAAAGGCTTGATGCGACTTGTATTAACGTTACATTTCTTCATGTTCATCCTAATCAATAGCTTTCAACTGTGGTAATACTTCATTGTATTAACCCTTTTACTTAAGGTACTTGAGATTTTACTAAAATGACATCCATTATTTTTTGCATAACTTAAATTGCTTAAGAGCCACTCGTGTATGTGCCAGTGACTTTCAGCAACATTTCGGTGTACTGTTTAAAAGCTCCCCCAGCAAAATATCTCTCCCGGTAAGATCATAAATCAACTTATTTCCCAATATCCATCCTTTAAAATTCTTTCATCATCTACAGATATAATTTGTGATATGTCTTTCATCCCACAATATAATTTTAAATCTATATTATCTGTGATTAATAAGCACATTATTAGAAATTAATTATATTGACTCAGAATTACTGTGGGGTTATATTTGTGGATTGTAGGAGACTTTCAAATCCAACTACATCTCTTCAAACTTCAGTCTAAACAGTCAGCCAATAGATAAAAAACTTTAACAGACAATTCTACACATTGTGTTGTTTTATTTATCAGTATATGGTCGTGATTTGATTAAGATCATGAATGAATCAATGTTAGACCACCATTGAAAACCTAGAAGTACTAGGTGACCATTTCATCTTAGTATGGGATTGGCCAATATTGTGCATCCATGATACCATAAATGGGATTCGAATTCAGGTTCATCTTAGTATTATTTACTGTAATGCCTGATAAATGCTTAGTTTTACTTGTGGTATCTTTTTTTTAAATGAATACATATAGAAATTTTCAAAATATTGTAGCTTACTTAGATAGTTTGCTCCTGAAACAGAAAAAAAGTTAGTGTGTAGTTACATTATCATACTTTAACTGGTTAAATGAGATGAAGTTAAACCTTTCTATGAATAGTACATCTATGCGAAACACCAACTAATTGTGTGCATTTAAATTAACCAAGTATTATTCGATGGTTCCTTCAGTGGGAATAATCATATATTACACTTATTGAATACAATAGTATAGTTTTCATTCAACGTATGGTTTGTAATATTTTCCCTCTCTTAGACGTATTATACGATGATACGTTAATAAGTTAATGTGACTTATCACTGTATATCGGAATCAGGATTCGCGACCCAAAATAGAGAACCAGATTAACACTAAAGAATACTCTGTTCAATACAGTGACTCCAGGGTAGAAATCAACGATAAGAAGTAAAATAACATATTTAATAGTTCGTAAACTGTGGCTGTTTGTTCACCCTCAACGACTAACCATACCTTACTTTCATTGTCACACATCAGGTTTATAAATTAACTGTGTACTATACAAATAGATGAATATTGTTAATCCAATGCTGAATGTGAAACATGTCGTTAGTGTGTGTATAAATATGAATTGTAGAAAAAATTATAGTAAGATAAAAACCTTCATAATATAAGCGTATTTAGTCGTTTATCTTCCCATAGATTTTGAGTTCTAGTATTCCTTGATATCTACACTTACATTTCATCCTTTTAAACCATGTCCTCAACCTATAGTCATTCTTGTTGTTGCTACGTTATTTCAACTACATTGCTATTCAGTTTGTTAATTTGACCCTGTCTTACTAATGTATTATGGTGTGTGCTACTGATGTCGACAGATATAAGTAGTATATGTCACCAATCGAAGATGGAATATCTGGAGGTTCTGAACCTTCTCAACCTTCATTTGTAAACCATAATATTTATATTCAGTAATTGTAATATTTGATTATTTTCATTGAAGGATACTACGGCGTGCCTCAGAAGATAGTCAATATAATAGGAAATTCCTATGATGGATTAAACTGCAAAATCGTGCATGGAGGACAATTGACAGATCGTTCGAGGTAAAGACCGGTGTCAGGCAAGGTTGCTTACTCGCACCAAAGGAGGAGAAGAGGAATACCAAACAATACATTACGCCGGGAAATGGAGATAGACATGAGAAAAATGAACAAGAATTGGATGGAATTAGAAAAGAAGGCCCAGGACAGAGTGGGTTGGAGATAGCTGGTCGGCGGCCTATGCTCCATTAGGAGTAACAGGCGTAAGTAAGTAAGTAAGTAAGTCCATTGAAGGGACATGAGTCAAACAATCGAGTGAAACATTGAATGCATGTCAATTTTAATTGTTCATAGATTTATAAATTAAATTTCAATTTTAATGGTAGACTAGTGACATTTAAAATGATGTAAAATAATCAGTAGTATATATCATTTGACAATTGAATATATGTTATAAGCCAACCAAATGAACTTACTTCCACCTGTAAGATAAATAAATCATATGTAAGGCAATTAATAATCAATGGATGTTAATTATTAATAAATATTTTTGCATGCATGATAGAATTTATAATGTCTAAAAAATAAATATAATATCTATAGTTCAAGTTCCGTGTGCAGAATCGTGGATACACACTGCTGATGAGTACCATACTAGGACGAAACAGTTGTCTAGTGCTTCCAGGTTTTCAATGATGGTCTAGCTTAGATGGATTAGTAAATTCAAATTTGAAAACATAAATAATTCATAGTTTATCAAATATTCAGTTTAGGTAAATTATAATCAGTCTGTAAACTACACGTATTCATGATTGTTAAGTCTGATTTACGTCCTCTGTCCTTAATCACTTCCCTCAGACTCTTTCGTGCTTCGTTTTATACTACTTATTAATATTCAGTAAACAGTTGTATCGCTAGCAATTTTTAAGCTTATGTTGTAACTCTGTCGTGTAATATCCTGAAATATTTACATATACTTATAACATTTATTATATGTATCATTATAATTACTTTATCGCAGTCATTGTAGCAGTTATTCACGAGTTTTTTATTTGCTTAACCCTTGTTTAAGCTCAACGGATTTCATATTGTTCTCTCTTGGTTCGGTTTTTGCTTGTTGATAAACTGTTACCAAGTTTAGACAAAGCCAATAGCTGTCTTTTGCACTATAATATGTTGTAACTATTCTTTATGTTAATATTACAGGAAGCCCTTTTTATTTCAGACAAAAGGACTCTGTAAACTCCGTAGACACCTCACAAGTTGAGGTATCTTATTCAATAAAGAACCGCTATTTTAGACAAATTGTTATTTTGTGAACTTTGATTTTGTTCATATCTCAATTGGGTGAATTGGACAATTCGATAGACTTAACAATGATAAAGTTTTAAGCAAAATATAATTCTGTTAAACAATCATTGTCTGTATAATAAAATTACAATTTGTGAATAAATAAATATATAAAACGTTGAAAATGTCCTGGTTCATTTTAATTGTATATTAAAATGACAAATTTCATATTCTTAATTTAATATGAAATCTACTTACTTGAAGAAATACTGCTCTCTCTTTCAAATGAATGTCCATCTATGAAATTATAGGAAAGAAAACAAGACTTTAAATTACTACTACTGATGAATAACTTTACAGAAGGTAATCAAACAACAAAGGTTTGAAAAAGAATACCAGAATACATCCAATGAACACAAGTTCATTGAGCCAGTAACTTTTAACGTCATTTATAATAAAAGCAAGTTCATTGTTGTTGTTGTTGATGATTTTATGGACTGGAATCAATCAGTCGTTTTTGATTTCTTTGTATCATTAGTAGATTGTCTTGACAGTGTTGTTAAGTTATAAGCATAATTAGGAAAACTTTTAATAGTTATTATATTTAGAGTTCAGGACGTGTGTTTATGCTATTTCAAACACTTGGGGTAGATATATTTGGAATCGGCTTTGATGTTCACACCAGAATGTATAACCAATGCCTGCCACCTTAAATGCTCAAAGAAGTCCTCACTTAGCAGCTGAATATGTGTTCTAACATTAATGTGAACATTAAATTTAAGGTATAGATACATTTAACTAATGAGTTCGAATTAGGGAAGAGCATACGTCTTGCTTGCTACTGCTAGTCACTCATGAGTGAATAGAGTATAACAGAGAATTCTTCAGATCCCTGTTTTCATTTTCCGATTGCGTTCGGCGGGAGCTTGAGGACCAATAATAATTAGTGTCCTCGTATAGCTATTGATAGCTATGTCATTTGGTAAATAGGTGGTCACCAGTTCTACAGGTAATATAACCAAGCTAAGTTGTGAATGAACTAGATAAAGAATACAATGCTTGACGTAATAACGATCCGATCACACAGGGCACAACAATGGTCAACTGTTTGTTCCACTTCTCACCATTGCATCACATTCAAAACTAACTTTTCACGTTTAATAAGTGTATTTAACAAAATAAAAAGGTAATGGATGATTTAACAGTGTTACCGGACACAAGTTAGATCATCAAAACATCATTGTATATTTCATATAGTACAATTATAATGTTAATTCTTTATAAACTTACTACACACTGGTGTTGAACTTCTTGTTGGTCGTCTCATTGATGTCCTGATAGACACACGATTAGAACCCGAAAAGTCATCTGTAGAATTGATTAAAATATTTTACATAATTAGATCAATGGATATATATATATATATATATATATATATATATATATATATATGAACAAATCGGCTAAAAATATACCTGATGGTTTCGCATTCGTAACTGCAAAAGTAAATTAAATGAAGAGAGTATGGAAGTTTGAGTTCAACGATTTGAATATTATCAATTTTAATTCAACATGATACAATATCCTTGAATGTTTTTGTACAAAGTAGCTTTTATGTAGAAGAGAAGTCTTTAGTTGAACATATTACATAAAGCTAACATCTATGCTGTCGATATTTTCGAGAAAAAAATTTACTTCCTATTTATTTTTGTAGCTTAAAGTCAGTTTTCTCAATAAACCTCAATTTCGCTTAGTTATTGTCAAATTTTAGATTTGTTTTATTTACTTATTTATTTGAACACATAAATATTGGTACAAAGAGACACCAAATACATGTGCGCCACACAAGTCATTTGATTTGTGTGTGGGCTGTAATACTGCTCGGGTGCCCAGACCGAAGTAAGTGGTTTTTTTAGAGAGTCACACCAGGAGCATTTGACTTTAAGGTCTAATCCACAACGCAGTGGAGCAATATTTGGACATACAGTCCCATAGTAGCTAGTGACCAACGATTTGTTCATACGCCGTTTGTTCCTTCAGGATCATGGAGCTCATGTTCACCACCAACTCACTTAGGTGCACCCTCCGTGTCCACCAACCCGGTTACAGCGTCGGACATTCATTTTTCGTATTTTCAGTTTCTTGAACAGCAGTAATGCCGCGAGAATGCAGTGAGAAGGACTTCCCTGGTAGAGGCTGTGACCATGTTAGAGCAGGGAAAGAGAGCTGACTCTCCCAACCCTCGGCCGTACTAGAGCATTAAGTTGTATCAGTTTTCATAACTCCGCCCTGAGCCCCTCTGTGGCTACTACCTGTCTCAAGCCTGGATAAAGAAGGTGGTTTTGGCATGGGGTTAGCGACCCCATCACGTAGAAAGCTAACTCCCTATATATGTGTTCATTTGTAAAACTAATTAAAATAAAATATCAGGTTTTATTATCACTGAATTATTTATTCATAATGTAAATTGGTTACTGCAATATAGTTAGTAGTATATATATTCAGTTAGAAGAAAACTATGTCAAATACATACCTATTGCTGTAAGCAAAACAAAAAACAAAAATACGTGTGTATCACTTTCTTACTATATATATATATATATATATATATATATATATATATATATATATATATATATATATATATATATTCATTTATTTATAATGTATATAACATAAGTATTTAATTAGAGTCGTCCATTAAGTGATCATGAATAAAGAACTTTTCAGCATAATATGATAAATGAACGTCTTTTTCAAAGTTACAGTTATGTAATATACCCCCTTGTGGGCTAGGGTAATTTTACATTAGTTTCCAGGAGAACCAGATATCATATAGACTTTCACGTAACAACCCAAACATTGCACCCCAGTCCCGTTTAATAGGAGACCTAGGTTAAACACACAAGTTGTGTTTAAATGTATGAAATTAAACTGACGATATCAGAAGTTTGGTTGTAATGTCTATCATATGTTCGACATAAATTTAGAATTTTTTGTGGAATTGGACTGATAATACTATGATCTGTTCAGGAAGTCACTTCAATTAAACCTCCATTAAAATATCTTAAATTTATTTGGAAGAGATATTTCATGATAATTTAACTATTATTATCTAGTTTATCAAAGATCATAAGCTATCACTTGTCTGTAAATGCCTTAAATATATGGTAGATATATCATTTGCAAAAATATTAATATTCATAGTTTAGATTGTTGATTCATCACGGAACATAATCAAAAACCTTAGAGTAGCGAACAGATATTTCTTCCTGATGTAAGACTGAATTATCCGTTATGAACATTCAATGAGGACGAACCTGTAGACCACTGAACTGGAATCCAGTGATTTATCTGTCTAACTTTAATCGACTCGTGATATTGTGTTATCTGTTATTTGCTGTGGTTAACTCTCTCACACTCAACATAGTTTTACTCCAATGATAACGGTTTCACATTAGAACTCTAGGAATTACATCTTAAAGCTAGTGTAGTGTATTATAGTGTATATATAGTGTAATGTAGGTGAATCAGTGGGGAACGGAAAACTTTCACATGCTGATTCCCAGCAGTGTCACGAATGAGAATACTAGAATGAAACATCTTTTTATTTTTCAATAGTTATATTTTTCTATCAAATATTTAGTGATATGTTATTGCCAGTTCTGTGCAACATTTGTGATTAGACTGAAGCCTCAAATATACCTATAGCTATTGAACATAAGATTTAACAAATTCAATTTAATATTAAGAGGCTTATCTCTTTCACGAAAAGATATTCTCTAATCACAGTCTTCTGATAAGTGAGGTATACTTGAAAAAATCATAAACAATTAAACATTCTAATAATGATAAATCTTCTAATTGGACTCTAGATTATGTTTCCAAAGCTCTTCTAGCAATACACAGGCTAAACCTACACAGCATTCTGAACATGAGAGAGAAGGTACGAAACATGGAAGAAATGCTTTATTTCGAGGTTCGTTTATGTACAGAAAATCCAGGGTATTTATAGCATTTTAGATGAATTTGGGCTTCTGGTAAGTTTTGGAACGCTACTAAACATAGTAGCAGTATAGGTAATCATGCAATCAGAAACGCGACATATGACGTTTCACTTTCTAGATGTTTCTAGTAAGACTTCTATCGAATGTTGGTTGGATTGGGGGTTTCCTCAGAGCTTTCAAAGCCATTTCGGCTTTTTTCGAGGAATTTTATGGACCTCCCAAACAAATGGCTTATCAAACAAATCTGTAATATGAATTCACTAAAAGCAATAGCCTAAAAACTTTTAGAAATAAGCAGATGTTCTTGAGAAAAGTAATGAAACAAACTTCTCAAATACAAATTTCAAAGGAATACGAAACTAAACAATATGATTCATTTTAAGTATTTAAATTCATTATTTTAATTACATGAGAATAATGTAAAATATTGTTTAATAATCAGTGACCAGTGGATTACAACGAAGTCGTTTTTGAGATAGTAACTCACTGAAGACAATGGTGGACGGTGGTGTGACTTCGTGGATGGGTTAAAGTTAAACATTAACACCGTTAGATGCCGGCTCAATGGTCTAGAGGATATGCGTTCACGCGCGAGACTGATAGGTCTTGGATTCGAATCCCGCGGGCGGGATATATATATCTATCGATACACAAGAATTATTAATGAAAAGTTTATAATCCAACGTAATTATCTAAATCATCTAACTTACTTGGACGTTCATCTGAATTCATGAAGTTTAAATTGATCACTGTTGGACTACATAATGAATTGTGCGCATCATCTGTATTCGGTAAACTAGTAGTAGTGACATTTATAGTTTTAGGTCGTAAATCTTCAGAACTTCTTGTATATACAGATTTAAAATGTATATCATCATTATTTGAAAATGAAGTAGGTCTGGAACGTTGAAAGTCTCCACTACGTATTGAGCCAGTTCTAGAACGTTCATCTTCGTTTATTATAGAGTGTCCTTCAGGTAAATATGGTGTATGATCCCAGTAACATTTGCATCTTTCTAGATAAAGAAAATAATTATATATAACAGTTTAAAATTTTATAAAAGCATAGAAATGAGTAGTCATATTTTATCGTTATGTAGCTTGAGAAGAAAGCATAAACTTGCTTGTCTGGAAGCTAGAAATAACTAGATGGGCTCGACATTGGACCAGCCACTACAGTTATTATTTTATTTACAATAAATCATTTTTACTTTCGCTCACGTATTACTGAGTAGTGCTTTGTCATATAATATATTCTGATAAGTAGAATAATACTCAGAGTATATATGAAAATATGTTTGTGGTGTATGCTACTTATGTCGACAAACATAACTAGTATGTACCATAAATCAGAAGTGGAAGGCATGGCAACAGAAGGCTAGGACGATCAAATTGAAGAAAGCAGAAAGGTAAATAGAAAGGAATCGAGAATTGGAAAAATCATACAGAATGTAATGGACAGTTGATGGGAGATTTGTAACTGACTGGCATTCATTTAATATAGAAGACCAGGAAGAACATCGATGCAATCATACTTGAGTTCATACAGAAAGACTAGAATGATTTTAAACTTTAAATATAACAATCAACAACTTTCAATTGTTAACGTAATATTGATGATAAGATTTATTAGTATTTTAGTAGTCTAGTGTCTTTGAGGTCCGATTAGGAATCATTTTCATCGTTCTGGTAATCATTCATATAGAAGTGACCTTGAAAGTTATTCTGTGAGTAATAAGTCAATTCGTTCTAGTTAGCTGTCTAGTGACCTTTGTTGTTTTCATATGTTCCTAAACTCTTCTTCGGTCTCTTTCTGTTAACCACTGATCGTGTGACTAAATAACTTCCGCTTTTTGAGTTTGATCGATATCACTCTATTTGATTATCAATCGATCTGAATGTTGTCTTCCTTGTAACTTATAGGTATTCTACGAGTTTCTCCGATTCTAAATTTTAACGTATCTTCATTACAATTCATGACTGCTATTGTCCACATTTATTCAAATCATATAATCCCACCGTTCATCTATTTCCACATATGCGTGGGTGAAAGAAGATACATAGGATTACAAAAACTTAAATTTTCACAGCAATATAGGGGATTTTCAAATTGTAAATATTCACAAAAGATCAACAATAATTGAGGCTTTTCATCATAGTAACCTGGATTACATTTTGTAAGAAATCTCATTCAGGAATACAGTTAATTTGTTCAACTTTGATTCATCATTAACCATGTTGGGATACTACCCCTAACTCAAGGTTTAAAAATTCGGAAAAACGAAAATTTCGCAAATGTGATGAAAATGATCTTGGTAGTCTTGTAATAGTATTCTGACACCAAACAATGAGTCTTAAGCTTTCTTTAAGCCCTAACGCTTCAGGCTGGGCTGTTTCATTTACTATCCTACATATGTGTTGTATGCAGTATAAGCTATATGGCTATGTTGATCTGAAGGTCTCATATGAGACTGGAGGTTCGCCATTGATATTGTTGGTGGTTCGGCATTGCTTTGGAAAATTTTTCTGCTTATTCATGCATAAAATTGGTTTGCTGGTTAACCAATTTCATTCATACTTGTGTTCTCAAGGGCCATTGTCATTTTGACGTTGTAAGACATGTCTTCATAGCTAACAATAATGAGTTTGACTATGGTGTAAGCGAAATAGGTCAACTTTGGCCTGTTCGTGTTGTGCATAATTGATTCACGCGATCATCGATCGGAATAACTATACATGTGACGTGAATGTGTATATGAGTGGTGCAAATGTTCCACCAGGATGCTTGTTACTTGTGTGGTTGCGCCACAGGATTGAGCTGTACTATTCAAATTGTAGCGTTAAAGCCTATACGGTGTCTGGTTCTCCTGTGAAGGGAGATTGAGCTGTACTGTTTGGATTGTCACAATAAAGTCTGTATGGTGTTAGATTATCCTGAAAACCAATGTAAAATTACCCTGGCCCACAAGGGTATATTATATAACGATAATAACTATCGTTAACTATATGCAAGAAAACTAACCTGATAATCCTAGACTTTCTCTAAAAGATCGTCTATGACTTGATCTAGTTGAATTACGATCCAATGAATACATACTTTCTGTGGCATTACAAAAACAAAAACAAAACATTGAAATGAAATAGAATCATTATTGATTTCAATGAAATAATAATGAGATTGTTTAGAGAGAAAACTACTACGTATAATTCACAAAAACTACTAATGTAAATGTCTGAATACATACTGTCTATCAAAACAAAAAAAAAGAAATTAAAGAACAGTATAGCTGTCAATATAGTCAAAGTATATTCTGTCCTTGATGATGAACCATCATTCATAATAAGCACTAATTAGTATTCTTAACTATTTTACTTAGAATTCTACAATAATGTACAATTGATTGACATCAGTAAATGGATAGAAATAAATGTAAATGTCGTAAATTCTCATCATATTCTGATTGCAAAACTATAGATATGATTGACAAGATTATGTAACAATGAAAAATACTAACTAATGAATGATTCTTAATAGAAAGAAAAATACCTACAGTGTATTAAGAATCTTAATGAATAAAGAGAATAAACTGATGTAGAAAGAAGGTACAATCTTGTTGATGAATCGGTTGTTTATCTAGTTTGAAATTATCTGTCGAAGAGATATTTTTATAGTTGAACTCATGAGCTAGACCATCATGGAAAATCAGGAAGCATTGGATAGCCGTTTTGTCTTAGTATGGGACTCTTCGGCAGTGCACAACCACATTTGCACTCGCGGGATTTGAACCCAGGACCTATCGGTCTCGCTCTCGAACATATAAGTTGCAGATCACTGACGTGGCATTCAATGATGTAATGTCTAATTCTTATGTTTATTTATGATCAGAACAATTTTTCTAATAAAATGTGACGATGGTACAAAGTAATTATTTTAATCATATAGAAAAACCACAATATAAATATAACCTTAACTAGAGCTCATAATATTCAATAAACTAATGATAAATGTCTTTAAAGAAAATGAAATTAAAGGGGAACCATCTTGATTCTATATTTTGTATTGTTTGTTTAAATTATCCCATTGATATTCATGACTGTAATTGATCAGTCTATTACTAGCATATGTGTATCCTATGCTAACTGCCTCGATATTGACTTCAATCACAAGCATTATAAGCAAAGATAGATGGTGGCCAGTGATGGAATCCAAGAAGCGCGTTTCCTCCTATTTGGAACTTATCAGCTGGATGTACCTGCATTCTAGAGTTGATATTTATTCCATGACTCGAACCTAGTACCGTTTACTTCGAACGCTACTTAGCTAATTGGTCCTGAGAAGATACAAACAAACAATACCAAGTGAATTTATACTTCACTCCACTATACAAACTAGTGAATATCTGGACTCAGTAGCTAAGTGGATAACGTCATACTGTTTGAAGCGACCAGTTCTATGTTTGAGAAGTGAAGTGAACATCAACTCTAGAATACAAGTACATCCAATTGACAAGTTCAAAATAGGACAAAATGCGCTTCTTACATTCTACTTCTATCCACCATCTATTTTTGTTTACCTTGATTCTTGTTTTTAAACAAACTGATAAGGTTAAATCAAGAAAATTAATAAAACTATTTGATATACATATAAACATGTTTAATATAATAACACAAAATTATAATGTATACAATATGATAATTCAAACTACAATGTTAGTATTTGTCACTTTCCATACAAATCTACGATAGAACAAGATTCATTTAGATGATAATTATCTATTTTATTTTATTACATAATCAATGACAGAATGTTTAGTTTTACACTTAAATCATTGAATAGTTCAATTATTTCATTATTCTTGATATGAAACTGATTTAAAGTCATTTCCCTTATCCAATTATTCACAATAACTAACATTTATTGAATTCCATTTTTATATGAATCAATTAAAGTGTATTATTAATTTTTTTGAAGTACGGAGCTGAAACTTGGAGAACTACAACAACCACTATCAAGAAGGTACAAGTATTTATAAATAGTTGTCTACGCAAGATACTCAACATCCATTGACCGGATAACATCAGCATTAGCCTTCTCTGGGAGATAACAAACCAACTTCCAGCTGAACAAGAAATTAGGAAAAGACAATGGAAATGGATAGGACATACACTACGCAAATCATCAAACTGCATCACGAGGCCAGCCCTAACTTGGAATCTTGGAGGGAAACGGGAAAGAGGAAGATCAAAGAATACATTACGTCGGGAAATAAAAGCAGATATGAAAAGGATGAATAACAACTGGAAGGAGCTGGAAAGGATTGCCCAGGACAGGGTTGGATGGAGAATGCTGGTGAGTGGTCTATGCTCCTTCACGAGGAGTAACAGGCGTAAGTAAGTAAATTTTTGAGAAGAGCGTTTTGTGGAGATTTTAATAATTTCAACTGTTGAGATCATGGGTCAATTGAATTTCTTTTTTTTAAAAAAAGATGAAATAACCAAAGGATAGTAAGAGTTTCCTTGACAAATAATGAACCATATAATTCATTGTTTACTAATAATCAAAGAAAAAAAGATCACTGTAAAGAAAATATCATTGAAGTAGTTGAACAATGAAACATTTAAAAGTAAGTAGATAAAATTATCAATATAATATCCTGTATTATTATAAATTGATTGAAGTTACAAGTGTATACTACTGTATACTAACTTAGTCATTTATAGATAGTATTCATCCCATAGATCGAAGGTCCTAGATGGAATATTTTATGGTGGAGCTATGTGTGTATACTTCTCAGGGGTTTTGTACTCGGTAGAGATAACTATTCAGTCCTTCCTTCTATTTAATGAATGTTTTATTTAGGGTCAATTCGAAATTTCAATAACATTCAATAAACTTTATAAGCCCCATAGTAGTTAAAAGGAAGGAAGTAAAGAATTAAGCGTAATTTAGTATTTCATAGTTTGTTTGACAGAATGTTTATAACGTGAATCGAATAAACCAATAGAGATGAGTTTATGGGATTTCAATCTTAAATGTAATCCAATATTGTATTGCTTAATCTTATACTGACATGTAATTCCTCTAATGAGATTGTTATCCTTTGAGTTTACACTAATGTCATAAAATATCACTCGGATGAAACAACTAGTACTTGAAATGTATGAAGCTCAGAAAAAAGAAGAAATGGAGTGAGGTCATTACGGAGGTCCAGATGCTGTTTCGGCTCATCGATTCCCCGTCAATGTGAATCGTGATTACTGGGTAAAGTATAATAATCCAATAATAGCATCGGATGCCTATGTACTTTTTGGAACACACAGTCACTATTATATAATCAAGTTTAGATTATATTTTACTCGTGTTTCTAATGAAATCAATTACTTGAATATTATAAAGACTATTATTTTGTAGTTGACATCGTGAGTCAATTAAAACTGGATCATCATGAAAAGCCTAAAAGCATTGGACGGCTGTTTCGTCCTAATACAGGACTCCTCATTATTTGTCTTAAGTTTCAATTGTGATCTTTTTTTAAAATCTAAGATAAGAGGATGAACTTAATAAGGTATATTTCGTATTCTATTTAAAGTATAAACTGAGAATCTTTGTCATTATTCTATCCCCATGTTGTTATAACTTTCGAATGAACACTAATCCTTTTGGATATTTGTTGTTAAAAGAAAAATCACTGACTTAAAATGAATGCAAACAGTTATTGTACATACTGTATAACAAAATAAATGTTATTATATATGGTATGAGTCAACACTGAACTAACCAGATAGAAATTATGAATATAGACAAGTAAATGTTTTAATGAATTGAAAATAAAATGGTGAGACTATAATTTATGGACGAACCAGTCAGATTTAAGATGATCGATCTTCAAATTTTGGCGGGAAACCAATTCATCCACTTGGTTAATTAGAATTTTGGCATTATAGCTGATGTCAATTCGTGATTAAAAACCATAAATCTAATCTAAATCATAATTCTAATTCTTCACACTGGTTTTTAGTCCTCATTTGATGCTAGCTATTAGGCGGACACTCTCAAAGTCAGCTTAATGTCATTCAAAGGTCATCTATAAATTATAGTCCCAACGATAAAATTGTTACATTATTATTCCAATATAAAGTCGTTTATTACATCATTTTTAGTATAACCTTGTAATTTATGAGAAAGAAAAATTGTAAATAAACATCTATTCATTTGTAACATTTGCCAAATTCATGGATACTGTAGTAACTGTGCTTCGTTGACCAATCACCCTCGTAACCGTTACCATATAATCCTCAACAGTATTTAAAATCAGAAGGCAAAGAGAAGTAGTGACCACAGTTTTATTAGCAGATAACTCAGATCACAGAGCAATGGGGCGAATGAGTGAGTCAGCGAACTGAGATTGTAGAGTGTATATGTACATGTATATATATAGGGAAATGAATAGATCATCGAATCAATTAAGCAGTTAATGAGTTGCTATAATACAATACTAAATAGATCTTTTACAAAAAAAAATAAACCATTCCAGAAATGTTATTCTCATCAAAAAACTAACTATCCGACAGTATGATGTAGTACACTACGTTGTTTCAATATGAGATAGAAAAAAATGTTTTTATACATAGAATGCATACATTTATAGATTGTATTATTTATGGAATATACTCAATGAGTGAGTAGTTAAATTCCATTAAGTACTTTGCTCCAATTTCAAAATCCATATTTATATCAGAATGGGTTTTGTGGAGAGTTTTAGAAATTTCACAGGTTGAAATCATGAGTCATTTGAAGCTAGACCACCATTGAAAACCTGGAAGCACTGGACGGCCGTTTCGTCCTGATATGGGACTCCTCAGCAGTGCGCATCCACGATCCCGCATCACGCGGGGCTCAAACCCAGGACCTACTGGTTTCGCGCGCGAGCACTTAACCACTAGACCACTGAGCCAGCATCCAACGGCGTTAATGTCTAACTTCAACCAATCCACGAAGTTGCGCCACCGTACACCGTTGTCTTCAGTGAGTTGTTATCGGGGTTCGAGCCCCGCGTGGTGCGGGATCGTGGATGCGCACTGCTGAGGAGTCCCATACCAGGACGGAACGGCCGTCCAGTGCTTCCAGTTTTTCAATGGTGGTCTAGCTTCAACTAACTCATGATTTCAACCATATTTATATGTTTTAACAATTCTTCCCTTGTGTTCATAACTGAAAGCTTCTCAGGACTTTCAAGACAAGTATACTATTACTTTCACACTAATAACACTATACAACTTCTAATCACTTTGACGTTTTATAACATTCATTGATAAACTGTTTATGATTAACAACATTAACAACAAAATTAGTTCTTCATAAAACAAACATTTAAAAAAATCCAGGCAATTTATTCTTTAATTTAAATAATCTGATACACCTTAATAGATGAATCAGATAATTATTCAATTCATTATGGTGATAATAATAATTTTTTTAAATTTGGCATTTATTAAGATTTTTATGTATGTATATATTATACGTGACAACTATTTGTTTGTGTTTTTTTTAGTTGTCATAGTAACCGACAGAAGTTTTCTTTTCCTTTTTTTCTTTTTTTTTTAATTTGAAAACACAAAAATAATCATTTCAAGTTATGTAATAAGCAACAAAATTAAAATTTATTATATAATGAATAAATAAATATAAAGAATGTATTTCTTTAGTTTAAATGTTTATATTAGAATGAAACATGTGATTGAATAATTATGTTTTCGGTATTTCTATACTTATACTTTGAAAAGGCTTATTATTGTATATTAATTATATTCTTAATATGATTATGCATTCTATTACTCGGGTTTCTCCTCATTTTCGGATAAATCTTTCGCCTTTTACTAAAGATTAGAGAAAGAGATAAGTAACCATTTGAGGTATTCAAGTTTCTAATAAGACTGATCCGATTTGAAATGGTTTGAATTATTTAATGAAATTTTATCATTCTTGATTAACATTTGAGTATCGTGTAATTGATACTGACATGAAATTACAAGTTGATATAGAATAAATGGAATCTAACTAGCAATAGAATCTATGATGTATGTGTTTTTATTATTTGTGACTAATAAGCTGAATATACTTGGATTCTGAAGTGAACATCAATACTGGAATGGAGGTAATATAGAGTTGATTGATATTGAATAGGACAAAAAGCATATCCTGGATTCCAATGCTAGTCATATTCCATTCATTCAAGAATAGGAAGGTTAATAGGTTTGGACAGTGTGTACTATTAGAATTTAAGATTAGCATTTCACTTTATTTAGAACTAACTATTTAAATGTATCTCCAGTTGTGTTGATTCTTGCACAACAATTCAAACCCGATATACTTCACCAATTCACTATTTACTGAGTCATTAAGTTCAAGTGTTCACTAAATTATTCAGTGGGTGTAATAATAATATTAGTACATTGTAATAACCAGTTATTATCACATGAAGCAAGGTAAAAAGAAATAATTTTCTCAAGTAATAACCTGTCAGATATGATCGGCAGAAATTATCTCTAATTAGAAAAGATTCTTGATCTGAATTCTAAACCCTAGATAAATATATTCTTGTATAGTTTGAACTCATTATGTTAACTTAGCTTTCTATTACTAAGTGCCCCCTTTTCAAATAACTACAATTTATGGTAATATATGATATTTTTAGCATACTTTTTTTCACTCATCATAATCAGTCAATCAAATAACGTAATTAGGCTACTTGTAATCCCTATCTCTCTTTAATGAAATAATCAAAGTCATTCAAATAATAATTGTGTATCATTGTATTTTTCATAGTTCTATCACATAGTTCTTAACGGTTACCTCTTATATAAATCATTAATGAACAAAGATTGAGAAGTATTATTTTATCTCTGATATAAATGATACTTTGCATTACATATCAAAATAGTGATTACGAAAAGAGTAAGAATAAAGATCCTAGCAGAATAGTATAAATTCATTTTATCTCGTTGGTTCATGTCAACTGTTTACAATCTGTGATATTTAAACTTCATTATTATTTACATGAAAGAGTTTGGTCGGAAGTTACTTTGAAGACATATCAGTATAGTATAGTCAGGGTGTAATTAAACTTCATAGACTGAATATTGTCAATATATACCTTATATAAAAGAACATTCTATAACATTGATTGTAACAAGAGTTCAAAAGGCTAGAAACAAGTGATTACATAATGAGTAAATACTGATAGGAATTAAATGAGTAATCACTTGTTTCTATCCATCTAAACTGTTGTCACAATCAATGTTGTAGAATGTTCTTTTACATAAGGTATGTATTGACAATATTCAGTCTATTAATTTCAATTACACCCTTGCTATTCTATACTAATATGTCTTCAATATAACTTCCAACCGAACTCTCTCATGTAAGTAATTATGACTTATAAATATCAACGGTTGTAAACAGCTGATGAGAACCAACGAAATGAAATGAATACACACTATTCTGCTAGAATCTTTATTCTTGCTCCCTTCAATAATGATAAAAGGAACTATGTGTATAAAAAAAAACAATACAAAAATGTATTATCTTAAATTTGGATCACAAAATTCATAGTATAAAGGCCTTAATAATAGCCGGATATAACTTATGAACACTATGATATCATTATTGGAAACATTGTACAGTGAGAATATAAAAGATAGTATTATATAGTTTATTAACTTGCCTCTTGATGTATCGTTATCTGAAAATAATGTTCACTAAATTTTAATTTTAAAATCACTGAAATAAATGTAAATAAGTATTTCAGTAGTAAACATAATCCAATGGTGAAAAAAAATGTTCACAGAATGTTGTGTATATTTATATACATTTTCTATAGTATTGTGGCGAACGAGAACACTAATGGGGGACAATCGAATGTATTTGAATATAATAATACAGAATCACTTAGTAAAATCTGAGAACCATACAATAAATAATTCATTTGCAAAATGTCAATCGATTGTCTTAGACTTGATTGTTCTTTCGTTTGCACATCAGTCATTCTCTGTTCTCGCTATCTTCTTTTCGATCTTTCCAACCTTCACTTTCGATTGGTGATACATACTATTTATATCTGTTGACATCAGTAGCACATGCCGCAGTATGTTTACGATTAGTCGAATGTTTGATTTAATATTTTAATATAATAGGCTACAATATGGTCTTAAACACATTTTTTCCTTCCAATTTTACTTGAAAAATATATACAATCGCATGATTTCAACATTTTACAATGATGCTAAATTGTTCACATAATCATAAGCCAAAAAACAGTAATGCTTACAATTAGAGGACACTCTAAAGCTCTTTTATATATAATAATTTACAGTAATGGTTTCTTATTATGTAACTCGAATGAGCTCAGAGAAAAAAAAACTCCATCAAAATCATCCACCTGAGTTACAAATCTTCTCCACCATTTCAAACTCGAGTGTTATAGTGTTAGTAATAGTAATCAATAAATTTTTTGATATCGTATCTTTGAAAATCCCAAACATCCATTACAATTCATCTAATATAAATATTCTATAAATTTAATTCCTTAATAATCGACAATTCTTTAACTGGTCAACTTTTAAATCAAACTGTACACTGTTACTCAATGAACAAAGATGTTAAACTGAACTGTTCTAGTATACGTATCAGTATGAGGATTTTTAGAGATTGTAATATTTCACGGTGGTCTACCTTAGATCAACTCGTGATTTCAATGGTGACAAAATAGATATGCATATATATGTATTCAACTGTTTTTGTTGATGAATGACAGTTGCTTTAGCAACACAACTAAGGACATACAAAAGTATATTTTTATTAAATAAAATTTGATATTCTACTTTCTTTTTTTTTTGTTTTTCGATTGTTAACACAGTGAATTTAGTACACCATTAATAAACTATGGTGTATATATAAATAGCTAACTGCATAGTTAACTATGATACATCACTATGTTTGTTATTATTATGAAAAGTATCTTTGTTCATCTTTTCCGATATTTGAATATGAAGTATGAAATGAAATGAAAATGATTATCTTACTTGCTGATCCAGTATCATTCACTTGTTTAATCAAGATACAAAAAGGCGGTATTAACAATATTATTATTATTAAAAGGTAATAATGTAACGTAAAAATATGCCATGTTCTACATTATAAGCATGTTACTACAAAAATATGTGTAATGTATAAACACACTTGTATGCTAGTATGAAATGGTTTTCGATGTTAGTAAACAAAATAAATGGTGTACTAAGCCAACTATCATAGTTCTAGAGTACAAAATCTGTAATCTATTCCAATTCTAATAATCTAATGTGTATTTGAGAGAAAATCCCGATGCATTAACTCAATGCATATATATACCAATATATCCCTCAATTTATTTGTACCTACCTTTTGTATATTACCTATTTTACTTTATATGAAATGTAACCATACGCTTTAATTCTTAAAAAAATATTTTCCTTAATTAATACATGACAAATAACTTCACATAAAAATTTAAAATAACGTTTTAATAGTTGAGATCATGAGTCAATTAAAGTTGGACCATCACAGAGAACCCAGAAACACTGGATGACCGTTTCGTCCTAGTGTACGACTCCTCAGCGGTATGCGTTCACGATTCCGTCTCGCGAGATTCAAACTCAGAACCTATCAGTTTCGAGCGCGAACGCTTAACATCTAGACCACTGAGCTAGCCTGCATCCAACGGTGTTAATGTCTAAATTCAACCAATCCACGAAGTTGCTCCACCGTCCACCATTGTCTTCAGTGAGTTACTATCTCATAACAGACCCGGCTGAACTCCACTGGTCACTGCTTCTCACTAGAATTTCAGGAAATACCTCTTGAAGCCAGTCATATGTTAAGTAATAACAGAAGCTTCATTTGACTAATGATCTCAACTATTAAAATTACTATCAAAATCCACAACAAAAACCCTTCTACTATAGAATTAACATTCAGCTAAGTTAACAATCCGTAAAATTATTGAAATCAATCCAATTTATCAACCATATAGATAAGTCAAACTATTATGAAACCAGGATTCTCGTTAACAAGGAAGATGACAACTACTTAAGGTCAACAAAAAGAATTAATAAACACTTGCGGTGAAATTCTCATAGTTTATTAATATTTGAGGTTTTTTTCCAACGATATGGTTTAGAAAGACAAGGAGAGCCCAAAATATTAAAAATAACTTAATTTACAGAGCGTAATTTTAGCAAGATCTTCTTCCTGAACGACAGATCTCTACCATCCGTAAGTGGCATGAATACGTTAAGTTTACAGATTAATTATAATTTACTTAAACTGAATATTTTGATAGATGATTCTTATGAAATGGTGAATCATTTATATTTATATTTACGAATCAACCTAAGCTAAGATAATAAATATGATTGTAATATAGAGATAATAAATTAAAATGAAATAACTGAATCAGTTGTAAGATATACTCACGTTTTGCACTTCCTCCATCTGCTAAACATTGTCATTTTAAAAATAATAGATTTTAACAATGCAGTTTACTTCAAAGTCAATAGTTTAACAGTAATATTAATTTATAAATGAATACAATGCATTTTCCTGCGTACTAGTAAGAAACCATGAGTTAATCTCTGTCGGGTGTGAGACAGTTATCCATTGAAAACAATGGAAGATGACCACACGATGTCATGGATTGATAAGAAACATTAATATCGTCGTCAGTAGTGCAGAAGTTAAGAGTAAAGTGTGAGATCAAAGATCCTAAAGTTGATTGCTGTGTGTAGAATCGTGGATAAGTACCGCTAAAGAATTACATATTATGACAAAACGACCATCCAGTGCTTTTACGTTTTTAACTGAGGTCTAATTTAGATCAGTTCATGATTTCAGTTAAATGTAATAACTTTATTTCAAATATTTACCATTCACTGTTGACTAATCGAAACTTTATGTACATTTTTGTTCAGTGACACAAAACAGAATATCAGGAAACTAAGAAAATTTTCAGTTAGTCAATATTTCATACTATTTGAAATGATCCGCGACTATTAATTTATATCGTGTAAATAGTTGGTTAATCTCATTTAGATTTATTCTCAGAGTAACTTGATGCTTTATGTAATATGAAACTGTTAAAACCCATTGAAAATGAAGTTAATCTCTGCCATCAGTATTTAATTTAACAATGATCATATTCACCAGCCGATAAAGAGAAACAACAAACAACTGAACCATTGACTGGCATTTTAACGACATTGAATACGTAGTCGACATTCCTGTTCATTATGAAGTATAGATATTAAAATGTTTGGAGTAGATATTTAGTTCTATTTGACAGTCAACTAAAAATATTTTTCCAGTAAAACGTTGGAAAGAAATGATCATTATTAAGATCCATTCCACTAACTCAATAAAGTAACTTTAAATTGATGAAAAATAAAATCAAAGTGTATAAGTCTTTGGTGGCCCTTAATCTAACTCCAATTAAATCGTATCAACTATTGTTGTCAAAATAGATATCCTGACTATTCTCGTATATAATTATCGACTTAAATCACATTAGTCAATAACGGAATGAAATAAGTCAAATACGAGAATGGATGTTTGAATACGTATATATTCGTACGCTCATTGTTTTGGAAAGGCAATCAGAAGGATGAAGCGAATAGAAGAGAGCGAAGCGAAATAACTCGCGGTGGAGAAGGCATGTGAGCCAACTGCATTTCGATCAAGCATTAATCAATACTTATAGTCACACAAAAATAAGTTGAAGACGTGTGATGAATATGATAAGAAGTTTACATACACACTCATATAAAAACAGTCAAGGTTGATAGGTGAATAATTAATAAAGTGGAAATGTGACTCAAGAGAAATAGATAAATCGTGCTGTTCAAAAGCTACAATAAGCTATGTGGACTTAACATAGTAACCGACATAACAAGTCCAAGAATCATATAAAAACCTTTAGTTATATAATACTACCATTATGTATTGTGAACATCTTAAGTAATTATTATCATCATTGAGTAAATAACATATTACAAAAGTGTTTTGTTCTTGTATTTTCTCGAAAAAAACAAAAAAAAAACAAACTACAAAAAGCATGTAACCCTAAGTGATAAAAAGTACTAAAATATAAATCTTATAACACCATTCATCTTCATTAACTTGATGAACAAAAAAATATATTGATTGAAATCATGAGTCAATTGAAGCTAGACCCCTGAAGAAAAACCCGGAAGCACTAGACGGCCGTTTCTTCCTAGTATGGGATTCCTCAGCAGTGCGCATCCATGATCTCGCACCCCGCGAGATTCGGACCCAGGACCTAACAGTCTCGCGCCTGGCGCTTAACCAACTAGACCGATGAGCCGGCATCCAACGGTGTTAATGTCTAACCTCAACCAACCCACGAAATTGCGCGACCATCTTCCATTGTACTGAGATAGACACCTGTTTCTACCCGACACGAATTAACCCCACTGGTCACGGCTTCTCACCAGAACTCCGAGAATTTTCTCATGAAGCTAGTCACTAGTTGGTTAAGCACCTGGCGCAAGAGTGATAGGTCCTGGATCCGAATCTCGCGAGGTGCAAGATCGTGGATGCGCGCTGCTGAGGAGACCCATATTGGGACGAAATGGCCGTCTAGTGCTTCCAGGTTTTTCATGGTGGTCTAGCTTCAATCGACGCATGATTTCAATCAAAAACTTAGCAATCTCAACAACCCCTAAACTGAAAAATATATATAATGAAGAGGTAAATCAAAAAGAAAAATAATATTTCCACTCTTCCAGAATTAGATTTTCTAACGTTTCGTAACTCAATTTAAACCGCTTCTTCAGAGAACAAATAACCACCATCAAAATGAATCCAAATTCTCTTGGATACGGAAGTCTATAGAGAATGTCTTGTTTTTCTTTATAATTCATATTTTAAACTGTCAATAATGTAATTCTATTGGTTATTACTTAAAGTTTTTTTTGTTTTTTTTTAGAAAAAGAAAAAGAACCATACGATTTTACTTTACTGAAATTATTCACTTGTTTTATAAAAACCTATCTGTCTTATTTTTAAAAGAGTAGTATATTTCAGTTTAGAAAAGAAAAAGACTAAAACCACTTATTACCTTTGATAACTTTATATATTAAATATCATTAATTTGCTTTTGATCATTTCGATACGATAATAATATCTTTTATTGTATGAGGCGGGAACCTGGAGAACTACGAAAACCATCATCCACAAAATACAAATGTTTAGTAACAGTTGTCTAGGCAAAATATTTCGGATCCGTTGGCCAGACACTATTAGCAACAACCTACTGTGGGAGAGAACAAACCAGATTCCATTGGAGGAAGAAATCAGAGAGAAGCACTGGAAGTGGATTGGACACACATTGAGGAAAGCACTCAACCGTGTCACAAGACAAGCCCTCACTTGCAATCCTCAAGGCCAAAGAAGGAGAAGAGGAATATGACCCCGAGAACTGGAGACAGACATGAGAAAAATGAACAAAAATTGGACAGGACTGGAAAGAAAGGCCAAGGATAGAGTGGGTTGGAGAATGCTGGCCAGTGGCCTATGTTCCTTTGGGAGTAACAGGCGTAAGTAAGACAGTCGGATTCAGGTTACGATTTACTCAACAGTTAGGTGTGAAAGAAAACTTACCAGTATACCGGCCTGTAAAAGAGATATATTATAATTAATCATTCTTCATTTACAAGAAGAACAAAAAGTTCAACCGATAGGAAGTAAGCGTGTTAATTTGGTTCAAATCATTCATAAATCTTATATTATGAGTTTTCATGATAATATATTGTGTAACAATTATGTACAGTATAATTTTGAAACAACAACTATATAAATAAGTGTAAATAATATTCTTATATACATTGAAACTAAGAACACAATTCAAAATTGTATATTGAACTGGAATAATTCAGACTGGTAGAGTAAACTATTAATGAATTTATTGTTCATAGAATGAAGGTTTGTGGAGATTGCAATGGTTATAATGGTTGAATTCATGTGTCGATGTAAGCTAGATCACCAATGTGAACTTAGAAGCACAGGACAATCATTTCCTCCTAGTATGGGATTCCTCCAATCCGTGTCGGATAAAGAAAGTTATCTACCTCAGACAATGAATGGTCTCACAATATCATGAATCAATTGAAGTTAAATATTAAAATCGTTGGATACCAAACAAGTGGCCTAGAGGTTGAGCGTTCGCGCATGAGACCGAAAGTTTTTGGGTTTGAGTCTGGCATGCTGGGCCATGGATACGCACTGCTGAAGAGTCCCATACTAGAACGAAACGACCGTCCAGTGCTATCAGTTTTTCAATGGTAGTCTAGCTTACGTTGACTCATGAATTCAATGACTAAGGATTTACTGTTGTCAATAACTGATATTACGAGTTCGTATTGTGTATTGATTTTGGTTTGCATTTGAGAAAGCTATAATTTTCATTGCTTCTTTACAATAAAACTTTTCTTAAAATACCATTTTCCAGAAAAACTAACTATTTTATTTGTAACTTTTACAATCATTTGCAGGTCATTAAACCAATCATTATTCGGTTACTTGGTCAGACATTTTAAAAACACTGTATCCTCTGATCTCGATAATTTAGTTAGGAAGCTTTTATTATTGTTCTAGACAAAAATCATCAATATAAACCTTAGAAACAATAATGTGTTTGTTTTAATAATGAGATTGGCTAAAGTGAACATAATAACCTCATAACTATACCGTCTAGTTCGGAGAACGCAAAATCTCTAAAAAAAATTCAGCTTTTGAGGGTTTACAACTGTATGCAAACAGCATACATATCAACTGATAAGTGTTAAGCACCGCAAATGTATTTCATATTAATCTAGTAGTAAACAATCGATAATTATTATTTCCCTACAAAATATACATGTTTTTTTCTTATTATTTTCTTATAATATCAAAAGGGGTTTTGTGGAGATCTTAGTAATTTTGTGGTTGCTATCGTTACTAAAATAGCAACTATAATTGATTAGAAGGGAGAGCCATTTTCTCTTTCTGGATGAATCAGTACGGTAATAGAAAATACAGCATGACAAATAAACAACCAATATCGTTCAAAGACACCAACGACAAATCTGTATACTGATTGTCTTGACTCGTTTTTTCACCCCATCGCCAATATGTCTTGTCGGTTGAATGCTACTTTTTATATCAGTTCGTCCCTGATTGTTATGTCGGAAAGGCTTATCACTTATACTCGAAACAAGGGACCTCTGCAGTTCTCACGACGCGAAGGTAAGAACACAAATACTGGTATAAATGATAAGCGTTTCTGACACAACAATCAGCGACGACCAGATATAAAAAGTAGCATTTAAACAAAACAAGACGTATCAAATTCATAAGTCAATTGAAGTTAGACGACTATGGAAAACCTGGAAACACTGGATGGTTATTTCATTCTAGTATGGGACTCGTATATATTATTTTAGGTTATATATCCCAATACTTTCGAATTTAGATAATGACCATTACATTTAATTATTTACTAATAAATAAATGCATACATATACACAATGAACATCATGTCAAATTGGAATAGCATATTAATTCAAATAGATTTATCACATTTTATTTTAAAAATTAAATATTTACTTTCATTGTCACCTATGGAAGCAAATCATGTAACAAAAAGGAAAAAAAGGAAACAACATATATGTAAGTATATAAACATATAAGTGAAGAACAAATGTAATTCGATTGTAACTAGTTGAATTTCTCTATTGTTCAAGTTATGGATTATAATTGATCAGCAACTTTTTGATTGTGCGTCTATTGTGCGGATGACCTTAACATTACTATCAGATGTAAAACATTTGAAAGCAAAGTTGGATAGTGAGTAGTAGTGAATGAATATTTCATTCTTTGTGAGATGAGCCATTGTGATATGCCTGCAGCTCACAGTGGATGTTCGTTCTGGAACTAGAACCTAGTAACTTTCGCTTCAAATGTGAATGTACTGATGATGATGATGATGATGAAACGTGTATCCTAGATTCTACTGCTAGCTACTACTCAACTATGCTTAAAATAGAACAAATAAATTTTAACAATTTAATTCACAAACTAATATCAGATAGATCACCATTAAAAATTTAAAAGCTTTAGATGGCCGGTCTGTTCAATTGTGAGATTTCTTGACAGTGCTTAGGTCATGGATGCTGACTGTTAAGTCAAATTTCCTTGAATTCTCTTTAATCACTTCACACTAAAGTGTTGGGCTAACTTCAAAATGAATTTTCATTTTCATTTAAATATTGATTAGGTGAAGCTGAAATATGTTACACAATTAGTCACAATAATTAATTCATCATTTCACAGTGCATTATTATAAGAGATCAAATGCTGTGAAATAAAACTTCGAACCATTCGAGTATCCTGGAAAAAAACCATGACTGTAATGCAATTTTTATGTAATAATAAATTGTTCTGGAAAAATTGCTACAAGGGTAAAGAAAGATTTATAAAACATTTACGTAATATTACATAAGAACTTTCATCTGACGTTGATCGAATCAGTTTCACAGTATTTAAGCATCGAGTTGATATGAAACATTAAAGAGGAAGAATGTATTTGTAAAATTTCATCGAATGAATTTGAAGTAAATCCAACGTTTTGCCTAACAATCTGGTTCAAACGTTTTCAAGGAAATTTAATCAAACATCAAAATTATCGATTATGTAAATAGGTACCTAGATGCAAATACATTCTTCCCCTATCATTTACGTAATATTCACAATGGATTGTTATGTATAATATAACACTACATATCAATGTTGTATTATAAATATAATCAAGTCATTCAAAGCTTTTAAGAGTATATACTTTTACTAAATTACTTACTAACAAAACAAAATATTATTCGCAGAGGGGGTTTTGTGGAGATTTTAGAAATTTCACCGATTGAAATCATGAGTCAATTGAAGCTAGACCACCATGGACTAGTGACTGACTTCAAGAGGTACTCATGAAGTTCTAGTGAGAAGCCGTTACAAGTGAAGTTCAACCAGGTCTGTTGCAAGATATCAACTCACTGAAGACAATGGTGGACGGTGGCGCAACTTCGTAGATTGGTTGAAGTTAGACATTAACACCGTTGGATGCCGGCTCAGTGGTTTATTTGGTTAAGCGCCTGGCGCGAGACTAGTAGGTCCTGGGTTCGCATCTCGCGGGATGCGGGACCGTGGATGCGTACTGCTGAGGAGTCCCATACTAGAATGAGACGGCCGTCCAGTGATTCCAGGTTTTTCATGGTGATCTAGCTTCAATTGACTCATGATTTCAATCAGTGAAAATATTATTCATCTAAGCTTTTTAATCTTAGAAACGAATGTGATATGTATTGTTCAATAACACACACTGAATAATAAAAAAACCATGAATCTGTATCGCCTTTTGTTATTGTTTAATAATTTGTTGCAGTTATATCCCGATGAGAATAATGAATAGTAACTTTTGGAATCCATTTATGGAACAATATTATACGTATATTTTTATCGTATAATTTTTAACCAAACTATACATATTCATATCTCTCTTATTATGAGCTTTAGTTTGACCTATGAACTATTATTATGCGATTTACCATTTTTGAGTTATGCCCTGTCTACCAATTAGCATTTCCAACATTCAGAGCTACATTTGGCTAAATCTTGCACAAATGTTGTTTACTATTTTATGGTACCATGTGGTTTGTCTGGTTGATATATAAACCTAGTATGTTTGAAATACATAATTCATATCACAGAGGCTGAGATTGGTGTTCTGGACTTGCCAGGCTGGGCTAGGCAGGAAGAAGGACAGATAAGGATTCTAGACTGCTCGTACTTGTTTTATGCGACATTGGTCCAATCGATAGTTCACTGTTCTCTGATTGGCAGTATCATTACGTTTTACAATCAGTAGGACACAGCGCAGAAATTATAACAGCTGCTTATGATTATTATCCAGATGATAACAGTTTGTGAATGAAAACTATTACTATAAAACACATAAGACATCTCATTGAATTGATTCTATTATCTTCATTATTTTCAGAGTTTATTTAAAGTTATAAGAAAGATAATTTCAAATATACAACTTACCAGATCTTTTAACTCCTTGATAATGTGGTACATTCCATCCGAAATCCCCTCTATTACCTACAGGTAAATAACGTCCAACAACATATGCTTTTGTTTGATCTTGACTTAAGGCTAATCCAAATCCAGCATGTGTTGTGGATTTCCAAATCATCTGAGTAAAATGACCTAAAAATATCAAAAATGAAAATGAGATTTAATTTGTTAACCAGTTGTGTCTTGAAGCATTTAAATTGGATTCCTTTCTTCATCTTATTTTCGAACACTTTTCCGCTAATATGAGTAACCTGACATTAATTTAAAAAAAGTACAAATTACGAAAATAAAACAGCCAATGTAAGGAATCGTAGACACTTACACTATTCCTGCATCTTACCAATGTCCACATCATATGTTATTTGTAATGAGTAAGTTGTTATCCGAATCCTATATAAAATGCTAGGCCTTTTAACAATTCATAATAAATATATGATTAGAGCTATGATTGTATAATGTCTGGTGGCAAATGATCAATATGAAATCCAGTTTAGTATCACGACAACCTTTCGTAATTAAAATATGTTCTTCATCTACTCTGGTACATCTAAGATGAAGATAGAGTCTTATAACAAAAATTACGTGAAAGATCAAAGTTTGATATTTTTCTCGACCTTTTTGCACCAATCTGATGTATTAAATGCATTTTAAAAAAGACTTGAAATACCTGACCAGTTGTACTGACTGTACATTATTTGAAACTGGTGTAGTTAATGACCGTTAGACAGTCAAATAACAGAAACACACTACTGAGTGAGCTGAACATCAGGTTAAATTTAGGAAATCTATTTAATTTAATCATTAGGACCAATCGAATTATTTCAACACATTCAAATAAAGTCTTCTCTGTTTAAAACATTTAGCTATTTACGTACGTAATAAAATGCTATTTTTTTTCTGTTTTAAGTAGAGCTTAATGCTTAATGTATATCTCAAAACTAAATGGCTAATAGAGATGGATGGTGGCTAACAGTGGAATCCAAGACGTGCGTTAAGTCCTATTTGGGACTTGTCGGTTGTATGTACCTGGATCGTATGGTACATGGTTAGAGTCCTGGAGTGGACATCAACTCTGACATGCCGATAAATCCAGCTGACGAGTCCCAAATAGGACGAAGCTTGTGTTCTGTTTAAAATGCTTGTAAAGTAATGGTAATATCGAGTCAATCCTCTTAGGATGTAAATATTCCAACAGAGACTGGTCAATTGCAGTGCTAAACAATAATTAAAAATACAAACAACCATTATATATGAATTAGTTGAGTAATGGGAATCTCTAAAAGATGAAATTGTTTTATACTCAATCAAGATAGTTAAATTAAGATCTTTAATATTTTCAATACGTAGGACTATTCATTTTATAAAATATAGTTTCGTATTCAAACCACTTTGTTTGTACAAAATATACACCACTCAAGATAAATTGTCTTTCTTTTTTAAATGAATACGAGGATAGTAAGTTTGAAGATTGAAGAAGTAGTTCTACATTCAGCCCTGATATTATTATGCAAAAGAATACTGAACTTTGATACTTTCATTTTCAAGTTAAGAACTCCAGAAAAACACGTACACATCTAACGTAAACATAAAGTATTAATGGAGCTGGTTAAAGAAATGACACAGTATCATATTATTATGATCATTGCAACTCACGTGAATTTGGATGATAACATTGGTTAAAGTCATGATAGTCAATCTCACTATACCAGGTCTGTGAAACCTCTTCACCTAAAAAACATTATAGTGAGAAACATATGATAATAATATTCAGTTGGTTACCAAATGATCTGCATATTTAGTGAAAAGAAATAACGATTGTAGAATATATTTCATAATCTGCCTTTTACTCCCGGTCTGTTGAATAATAGTAAAAGATTATAAGCAAAGATGGATTATAACTGGATACACCTTTACTAAACCTTCAAAGGATCTTCACATTTCACTACTTAATTGACGTACGTTTGAATCACGAAATGGTCTTTATTAGGTAGATTATTATTTACTAAGACCTAATATCTAATATAAATATATTAAATTATTGGACCCGAATGGACTTAGTTTTCATATTCCGTTTTCATTGAATAAGTGGTGATTTGGAAAAAAATCTAGATCCAGAACTTCTGATTGTCATAATCACTCAGGTAACATACTAACTGATAAATCTGAAATTCAGTTGTCCCAATTGGTATCTGCATACTCACTGATCTAGAAACAAAATGTAACTTTTATTCAGCACTATTAACTTCTTAACAATTCATTGGCTATAGTCGAAACCTCCCATGTTATCAATATTTATATCTATAACTTGTATAAGTTTTCTAAACCTAATCCTTTCAAAGGCATCTATGACATTAATCTAAAATTTGATACTAGTGTGGTGTGTGCTACTGATGTCGATAGATATAAGTAGTATGTATCACCAATCTCAAGTGAAATGCTTGGAGGTAGACGTTTAAGAAGATCAAAGAGAAGAGAATGATTAGTATGTAAATGAAGGAACAAGGAACTCTGACACAATTGATTGGCATTTTGTATAGTTGTATAGTTTTCAGATTTTATTAAGTGATTCTATAATTTTGTATTCAAATACATTCAATTGTCCCCATTGGTGTTCTCGTTCACTACACTAGTATCGATCCAACTGTAACGTAAGCATTAAAACCAACTTGATCAGCTTCTATAATACATTTCAATAGGACAATCCACAATCGTGTGTATAACAAATGAAGTATCAATAATTACAAGAAATAACAGTTTACAGTTGTAACATTAAAAAAGAAATTATTAAGTTTACATTGTAAAACATTTGACAATTCATATTACATTCATTATTTAGTAAGTTCTATTTAATGTTACATTACTGTCATTCATATTATTAAAATACATTAATATTCATTCATCATTTGAACTATCATTAATTTGAGGTCAACATCAGGTGAGTAAAACTATTTCTTAATAGTACATACTGTTCTCAATATTGACCAATAAAAATTAATACCAATTTAATCTACAATGTGTTATGATAAGCAAAGATGGATAATGGCTAGCAGTGAAACCCTGGACTCGCTTTTCGTCCTATTTGGGGCTCGTCAACTGGATGTATCTGCATCTTAGAGTTGATGTTCACTCTGGGACTCGAACCAATATATCGTTCACTTCAAATGCCATCGAGTTATCCACTTAGATACTGAGTCCTGACAACCACTTGCTTGCGCAAAATGGTGAAGTTTATATTCACTTAGTATTGTTTACTTGAATCTTCCAATTGATGTTTAGGACTGCAATTGATCAGTCTGTTAATAGCATATGTGCATACTGTGCTCATTGCTTCGATGTCGCCATAATTCACAAGCATTATGATCAAAGATCGGGCGAAGATGATGCGATCGGCACGGGGTTTGAGTCCCGGAAGGAACATCAACCCTGTGATGCAGGTATATTCCACTGATGAGTCCCAAATAGAACGAGGCGCGTATCCTGGATTCCACAACAAGTCAATACCTACCTTTGCTTATAATGCTTGTAACTTAAGACAATATCGAGGCAATACGCATAGTATGCATGTATGCCAATAAGAGACTGACCTATTGCGGTTCTAAACATCAATGGGAAGATTCAAGTAAACGATACCAAGTGAATGTATTAGTCTTTGTAATCTAATTTTTCTACATTAAACAGTTTGTATCGAATTAAGGCTCTGTTTAAAACTCTGTCACCAAAGCTAAGAATCTAACCATTAGTTAATAAATAACAGAATAGCATGATAAAGTATCTGTTTCAGTTACTACAAATAATCGAGTATACATAATTATTATTGAGTCTATGTTTTAAAGATTGCTTTAAGATGAACAACAATTAAATCGAAAAATTGAATAGTGATAAATATACCCTTGTCGATATTTCAATGAGCAGAAAATTGTATTTTTGATGTTTCGTGACTTAATGTAAGTCACTTCTTCAGAATAAAGGAAACAATGGGATATAACGAAAAAATAAACAGTTGTTATTAAATTTCTATCCAATGCTCGATTTATTTGAAAATATCAAGTCTAATCTTGACATTGATACTAACAAACTGAATAGTAAGATGTTCATTACGCGAACTAAATGTCATGGAGTAGTTTCCATCATGTGTTTACTCTAGAAAAGTTTTGAATCTGAGATAATACTTCTGTTTATTCGACTCCAAGTTTTAATTTCTTTCCATATGATGACATTATATGATGATATTAGATCTTAAACGTAATAAATCTTTACGAACCAATTAGTTGAGAAATACAAATAAATGATAAATAGCAACTAACTATGAATTTATCGCCTTTAACTTGATGTATTTTATAACGACTATATTTTAAACATAGGATACATAAACTACTAAGTTAGTAAGTATTCGGATTCGATAGCTTTTAGGATGACATTTTAATGTTTTAACGGACAAATACTGGGTTCGAGTCATGATGAGGATACCCAGCTGGGAATTTTCAGATAGGAGGAAATGAGCACCATGTATTTCAGTGCCGTTCAAAAGCAGAATATAAGAAAAATATGTCACCGACAAATTGTAAACAACTCAATCTTCTCGAGATGCACATGTATGAAAGAAATATTACTAATTCCGGTCCCTAATAACAACAGAGAAAACATACAAAATCCTTACAAATATCATGAAATTATATTTGTTCATTCTATTCAGTGATTAAATCACCATGAATAGATCACTAACTCATGGAACTAACAGAATGGTGTGAGGAAAAATAGTTGTAGAATAGAATGTAACGCTTTATTATAGTCTAAATTACATTAAAAGCACAAGAAGTTAGTAATTACAAATATTCTAACCGAAACAAATCTAATTCAAATCATAATTTCAACATTAGGATTAAAATTCATAGCCGTTGCACAAGAGGATGACTACCTGGACTCATTAGCTAAGTAGTGGTGAGTTAACACTCGAGGCAAGAGGCTCTGGTTTAGAACTCCGTAGCGGATATCGACTGTGGGCACCCAGGTACATGCAACTGACAAGTCTTAAACAAGGAGAAATGCATGTTCTGGATTCCACTGTTATCTAAATTCCATTTATTCTATGTAGATAATATTTAAATAACTGATTTACGAATTTTGGTTTAATTCAAGTTAGATTTCACTAAAGATTGATATCACATGATGAGATTTGTTATTATTTTGACTGAAACTATGATCATTATTCTAATCAACTGACGCACTTGATCAAAAATCAATTAGAGTGGTATATGTAGGCAACTGTAAATCGAACTGGAAGATTGGAGATATTATAAACACCTTGATAACTAGAGATCTGGAAGACAAGGAAGTCTAAAAGTCTTTAACTAAAATCCATAGTTCATAATAAAAATAACCATCAAATCGACATTCCAAGTTACGATCAGTGATTCTATTATAGGTACCACACAGTTTCGAGAGAGCACTCATTACTGAATCTCTGAAATGAATTCTTAATAACAGTTTGGTAATCCGAAGTGTAAACAGTTTATATCATGTTACGAATAAGAACAAAATCCAGTACACACTTTGTTTTAAAATAGAATTTCTAAATTAATATGACTCCGTACATATAACAAACTGTTATTACCTGTTATTTGACATGGTGCCACAGACATTTTAAAAGCCAAATTTTCTCCATAATCATTATAGTTACTATGATATAGTTTTTCAGCGTCAGCTAAATTTTCAGCCCATTTTTGTGCTGAAATCATTAATTCTTCATCTAATTGAAGTTCTCCACATCCATGTAAAGAACGAAGTCTTTAAATAATATAAGATATAAATTATAATTATATTATGCAATACACTATTCAATTAGAAATCATGATAGTGATTATATACATCAAGATATGCATTTTTTATAATATGGTGGAACTCCATTAGAATAATGGTGAATAAAACACATTAGTGTGGATAGAATGCATCAGCTTACTAATATTAGCATAATATAGTAATAATAATGTAGCCTATTTATAGTGAATAGATTCATGTGCTCAGCTTTATGCTACATAGTTTGCGTAATAGTGCCCAGGGACTGGAATTCAATAAGATAGAGCTGTGTTTGAACCTATGAGTTGAAAGCTACTATGCCAATACTTCATCTACTCAAAAGATTGTCTTTAAATTACACCTTATATTACATTAATATAATGATACAAATAATATTCCATATTAACCTAATAGAATCATTTGATAACATTAAGTATTAGTGTTATCATTTATCTGGGTTTCATATTTTATTCTTCTAGAACTTTCTTTCTTTCTTAAAATCAATAATTCGAATGAAATCAGTTTCTAACATTTCAAAGATTTCGGTATGAATTCAACATTCCTACTAAATGTTGCTTACTTACTAATCACTTTTAAAGATAGAATCATTCATCAAACTATTTAGAGATAGGGCGCATCCACGATCCTGCTCGCGGAATTCGAACCTAGGGCCTTCAGTCTCGCGCGCGAACGCGGCCGTCCAGTGCTTCCAGGTTTTCAATGGTGGTCTAACATCAATCGATTCATGATCTTAATCAAAAACTTAACAATCTCCACAACCCCTAAACTGATATTTAGAGATAGCTTGGATTTTTTACAAATGATAAAATTTATTCATCCAAGAAAGTACAATGAAACAAAAATTTAATTCAGCTTTCGAATATCCGTAAATCACTAACGACCCAAGTTTTAACTTGAGAAAGTATAATTATTTTCACAATTTAACCATTATGAGGTTAATTTATTTAAATGATTTAATCTAATGTGATAAATCTACTTATATCACGGTACGTTGAACAGATGCTTTGTTCTTATATGAGATTCTTTCTTCTTACTTTACATCTAAAATATCATCACTGAAGTTAGCTTGCTTGAATATTTGGACTACCTGTTGCTACCAGTTAGACGTTACAACAAGTTATCCATTTTCTTGTTTGTTTTAATAGATCATTATGCCTATTACTCGCATAATCTATTCACTTAAGAAAGAGCACGATTAGAAACATTGTGGTTGCTAGCAATATACATCGAAAAGAATATACATTAATCAAATGTCGATTACTGAACTGCTAACATCTAAATGGGAACCACTCAATATTTATCTCAAGGATCGACAAGAAATAAGAAAAGGAAACTTGTTGAATTACATTAGGCTGAAAATTCTTAATTACACCGAAAATATAATATTGAATAAAGTCACTAATAATCATAATAATAATACTAACCATTTCTACTCTTAGAAAACTATGGAACTCATATCAGCTATTATATCAATATATTCATATATACGTATAAAAACTGCCTCCTAGACAACATGTGGAAATACAAGTTGGTAGAATTTATAAACGTACAAATATAAACCATAACAGATATATTTCAATTTCAATGATAATTGTATATATCTAATTTTAGAATGAACTATATTGAATGAACAGTATTGAAAATATCACTGTTTATTTCAATGAACCAAAATATCAGTTTAGGGATTGTGGAGATTGTTAAGTTTTTGATTGAGATCAATGGTGGTCTAACATCAATCGGTTCATGACCTCAATCAAGAACCTATATATGGTATATATTATCAAATAAATTTTATATCATTATCTCATTGAATATTCAATTTGCTTCTATGTACAATAATGTTATAAAAGAATTGGTAGTGATCACAGATCTAGATGATGTAGATCTAGATGATCAAACTAAGAGTTGTAAAATCCACCACGAACAGTTTTGAATTACATCTTTAACTAACGTCATTCTTTAGATAAATTTAAAACATATAAAGTGTTATGCGAAATGAAAATAAATAGTCTTGCTTATTTTATAGTCTATTAATTAGTATTATTTTGAATTAAGCCAGAACGAACATGGATGCAGAATAATATGAATTCATTATATATCGTGGTTTCTCATCAGTTGATTACAACCAAATATGTATTAGACTTTTTCATTGGGGTAAGATATAGTGTGGAGCAACTGACATAAGTGAATGTAAAGAATTAGAATGAAAATGGTCAACAATGATAACTATATATACATGTGTGCAAGGACAGGTTAGAGATTATTTGGTGTTAGAAATAAGAAAACATTAGGAAAGTGTGATGTAATAGTTGAGTGAAGTTCAGAGACAGATAAGATAAATTATGTGATAATTTTATAATGGAGAATTTACATGATTTTGATGAAATTGAAAAATCAGTAAGATGGTGGCGCAATACTTGAATAGGAATTGAAGAGTTTACAACGGTCTTTAACAGTACAATAGCCCGGCATTTACTTAACACCGGGCATACCGTTTACATTTCATGCTTTAAAAATTATTAGCAGACAAAAAATACTACTTCAAGATAAAAAAAAAACAATTCAAACCTGATCTATGTATCCAAAGAGAGATAGTAATAAACCTATTACTACCCTAGTAATTCAATTTTTAGTCATTAGTTCTATTTCATTAATGTTTAGTTTGTTATATTTCTCTTCCATTACCGCATTCCTAGACCACCCCTTCACTCATACATTTCCACTCACTTGATTCTCATAAATTATATAAACTCTCCAAATCCTATTCAGTTGTTACATAACCCATCTTACCAGTTTTGTTTTAGTTAATCATGTAAACCCTTCATTATCTCTAAAACTGTCACATAATTTATCTTATCTGTCTCTGAACTTTACTCAACTATTGCATCACCCATTCTCAATGTTTCCTTAATTCTAACACCAAATAATCTCTGACCTATCCTTGCACACATGTATATATAGTTATTATTATTGACCATTGTCATTCTAATTCTTTACATTCACTTATGTCAATTGCTCCACACTATATCTTACCCCAATGAAAAAGTCTAATACATATTTGGTTGTAATCAGCTGATGAGAAACCACGATATATAATGAATTCATATTATTCTGCATCCATGTTCGTTCTGGCTTTATATTTAAATTCATTAAGGGAACTAATTGCATGGAACAATATTCTGATAAACTTTTAATCCTTTCTACTTGCAATTACATAAAGATTTCTAAAAAAGAATATCTAAAATTCCTTCTATTATATTACTGAACAACTAAAATGATACGGAATTTATGGAAGATTGAAATCGTTTATTTATCCATTCTGCTAGATGATTTGTACTACAAAGGTTATTCCGGTAAGTCACTAAGACTAGCCAATTAAAACTAATTCGTAGCCTCATTGAAAATAAAATAAAAATGATTTTATTTCAGACCTAAACAAAATGTGTGTTTTTTTAAATTGTGGATTCTGCAAATGTCCGTGAACATTTATCAGATTCAATATAGTGAAATGTATAAGCTCCTGTTGGTCAGAAAAATGATCTATTCAAACATCATTCTGTATAACTAAGTTGTAACAGAAATAGATAACCGATGTATTCATCAGCTCATCAAATGCGATACAACAGTGATTCATTTACTGATCAACCTATTGCTGCTGGAAGACAACAGAGAAATTCGTGTGACGTTCCTGAATAAACAAACTTCGTATTACTATTCTAATTAAAAGACAACTATTTATTGATATGACTTCCCTACCATGGCTTTTTGCCGAAAATTTACCACCTTAGTTAATAAAAATTGATTAAATTAGTCCCTCCTAAATAAAGATTAACTTAACTATTGTAGAAAAAATGACGTAACCACGTTGACAAACTAACCTCTTAGAATCACAGGAATATTCATATACTGGTTAATGTGTAATATAGAAACTAGTTTCTAATGAATTATAACTATTTATTCAATATTATCTTTATGAAAAACCGAACGGTCCTATAGTATTCTATCAAGATAATAGTTATAAACTAATATACTGTTAAGTCTTACTAAAAACTATTACTTAGGTAATGACGCTTAATAACATTCCGATAAAACCTAACATTCTACACTAAATTTGTTGTTATCTCTCAAAGAAAAAATTACTAATTAATAATGTAATAAAGAATATTTGTAACTCTGGTGATTTATTCTAAATGGGTTTACTTCTCTAAGCTGGATTTTTTTAGTTGTAAAGTTTCCATTACTCTTCTGGACAATATTATTATTACTATTAGTATAAATCTCGAGTAGAAGTCAGAATCTTTACAATTAAACATCCCAGCTCATAGAAGTAAACTTCATAGGAAATCTACTTGAATATCTGCTCTACCTGCTCCTATCATTTAGATATTTCAACAAGTTATTTGTTTTCTTTTGTTTTAACACATCATTATGTCTAATCATCACATAAACCATTCAAGCACTTTGTAAAACGTTACAGATCTTTCGCTTTATAATTAATAAAAAATGTACAAACATAGACATCATAGTGTCTGACAATATATAGCAAAAAGAATGAACATTATTGAGACATCGACTCCTGAACTGTTAATATCTAACTGGTTATCATTCAATATTTATCGTTGGGTTTAATCAAGAAATAAGAAAATGTAACTTGTTGAAATACATTGTGCTAAGACCTCTATATTGTACTAAACATATAATATTGAATAAAGCTAATGGTAATACTAATAATTTCAATGGTTAAGAGCATTAGTCAGTTGAAGCTAGACCACCATAGAAAATCTGGAAGCACTGGACGGCCGTTTCGTCCTATTGTGGGACTCCTCAGCAGTGCGCATCCACAACCTCGCCCCCTGCGAGATTGGAACCCAGGACCTACTGGTTTCGCGCGCGAGCACTTAATCATTATACCACTGAGCCTGCATCCAATGTTGTTAATGTCTAACTTAACTATTGTAGAAAAAATGATATAACCACGTTGACAAACTAACCTCAGAAATATTCATATACTGGTTAACCCATCTGATATTAATACTAATAATGTTAAAGTAGACAGTCACCAAACTGTTCATATACATATATACATATTAGTAATAAAATATCAAACTAACTGTTCACTTACCGATTATGCTCCCGTATAGCTTGTTGATTAAAACGTTCATTAATCATCCTAAATTAGTAACTATTACTATGAATATATCTTTAGAAAAAAAAGAAAAAAACAAGAAACAATAAAAGAAATTGAAAAAAGACCATAGTAACTAATGAATTTCACTGAATACTTTTCATGATTATAATCAACAATTAATATTGAATAAACAATAATCATAATTATCACCATGACTACTACTTAATGAATTTACGAAAAAAAAGCAAATAAACAACCGAGTCACTTTTTTTAAAAATAAACTTTCCATTTAAATAGTTCAATTTACTAAACACAAGGTTATTATCATCATTACTATTATTATGATGATGCATTATTATTAGTAAATTGAATATGTGTGTTTCTTCTTTATTCTATAATTGGCTTCACGTGATTAAAAAGAAGATCTAATTTATTCATGCATTCATTTCTATTGGTTAAAATAGTTGCTATGATCAAAATGTAAAAGAAAAAAATTTTTTTTAATTTTTATGAATTTATTCATTATTAATATAAAGATGAAGAAAAAAAACCCAATTCATCTTAATGATTGGATTATATAGAAAAATGAACGAAAAAAGAAAGAAAAATGAAAAGAAAAGAAAGATAGAATAGCAGAAAGAAAGAAAAAAAAGATTGGTAACTTAAATAGAAAGAAAAGAAAAGAAAAAAGACAAAATAAAATACTAATCACATACTGTGTAAAACATACAATTCCATTTGACAGTTTATTATTAAATACTTATGACAAATACAGGTCATAATGAGTTAGATGATTGTAAAAACTGTAGTAATAATAATAATAATACTTATTATTACGATTATTACCTTCAACATACTTATTCCTACTGAGTTTGTACTGATTTATATACTTGTAAATATACATACAGATATGTGATAATTCTAAGGAGAATTTTTGCATGCAATACATAATGGTATTAACTTTAGAATTCAATTCTATTGTGTATATATCTGTAGTATATTACATTAATGACATAGTTTTCTTCATCAGTATCACTAACGAATAAATGAGTAATTACACGTGATTAGTATTAGAAATCTTTATAGTGAATTGATGAAACATACTGTCAATGATAATATTTTTATGGTACATTTATACTTTATTAGGAAAATAATATATATACTCAAATGTATATAAATAAAGGAAGGAAGGATATACAGTTAGTTTTAATGTTGTAGTCAATAAAGATAGAATGAACCGAGAGAAGGAATTTCGGCGAGACTCTAATTTATGGACGAGCCAATCAGAGGCGTTTTAGAGATTTCAAGGTTACGGCGCCAACTTCAGTGCTTAATACTAACATATGATCGGTTCATAGGGAATTTTGTACAAAATGTGATAATTGAGCGGTTATAACAAATAAAACGGCGAAGCTATAATTTGTGGACGAAACAATCAGGTGTGAGATAACAGATCTCGGATTTTAACACGAAAGCCTTTTTCATTCATTTGGCTAGATAAGTTTTTGGTATTATAGCTGATGTCAGTTCGTGATGAAAACCCCATATGCAATTCCTAACTAAGGCAAATTACGTCAATTATCGCCAACTGGATAATAAAAGCCACAGTAACACTGGCTGCAGCCAGGTACTACAATATATACGGATATTTGGAGAGCGTACAGACTCCTACATAGGCTTGGTGATGTGCATCATATCGTTATCCACAAGTAGCATTTTGGGCACTCAACAACCGGAATGCACATAAGCAATATTGAAGCTATGTGGTCGAGGCTGATAGGGTTTTTGAGACTTTATCATGGCTCCGGAGGCCGACTATTCTGTAGCCGTATGGATGATTTCCTCTACTGCACGCATTACCATTTTAGAACCTCTGAACCACTTTCTAATCTTGACAAGTTTTTGAACGACGTATAAGTAAATCCACTTTATTTGCTTGGTTTTGTATAATATATTTTTACTGTATACTGACTGTTTGCTGATTGGCTATTATTTTTCAAGGTCTCTCAAGATTCGTTCAAATGTCGTCCATAAATTAGAGTCTCGCCGAAATTTCTTTCCTCTTAATTTTTCATCATGGCTTTACACTAATACATATATATAAGACTTATCGAGTAGATACGTTACGTAATAATTATATAATGACATATCGATTATAAACTAACGTTGAGTAATTAGAAGAACAAAAGGATAATCAATGTCATTATTCGAAAATCAAGCAGTTGCTACATTTTCTGTACCGCCTTCCTTAACCTCTGAGTCACATTGTGTTTCTCTTCAAAGTAAATTAATGCCTATCATTTACTACATTTTAATTTGACCCTCTAGTTGTCCTGCTAGATTCTTTCCAACTAAACTTTTAGGATAGATTATATTGTATAGATGATATCGGGTTATCTTCTCAAGAAACACATGGAGTATTATCAACCTTTAAATAAATGTTACATGATGCTTCAAGATATTTATTGATTATGAGAAATACTGATAATGATTTGTTCGCAATTAGTTTCAGTCGAAGTTATGTCACATGAAAGCAAAAATTTTTAAATTAGAATGAACTGCTTATATACATAAGAATCATGAGAAACGAAGGTCGGTACGTTTCTCGTCCTACTTTTACAAAAACATTCAGGATGTGTCAGTGAATTTCTATCTTTATCGTAATGCAATTATCAAAGGTAACAAGACTATATTGAGAAAAAATAAAGTGGAAACTATTCTTAAACTTTGTCCTTTACGTTGTTTAAAAAGTACATTCATTTAGCAAATGAAATTTCACAATCAACCACTGATTCTAAATACAGTGTGATTGTATAACTTCTTTCTCAAGGGGAATCAACCAAGACTTAATATTGCACTGAGCTATTTTCATGTGATGCAAAAATTCTACTCAAACAGTCTAATGAAGTGATAAAACCTTTTAAAGTTAACTCCAATTGTCTTTACTTATATACTTATAACTACGGTCACAAGTACTTCAATGGAATGGAGTTTTATCTAGAAGGGTTTCTGGACCCATATAAAAAATGATGTCAATTAATATCCACAAATCCTGAGGTAGAGAAATATATGTCATGGATACAATAGGTCCCAATAGAGTTTTAGAATAATAGAAAGTAGCAGAAGCTATTCGTCATTTTTACTCCTATTTTGAATGATCCTACAAATGTTTAAAAAGGTTTATACGACAAATAACCTTTGCAAACATCATCCGTTCTCATTGTGAGATAGTGGGAATTGTTGAATTTCAATTAAATCATGAACCAATTTCAGTCAGACAACTAATAGAACCCTGGAAGCATTGGATGAATCTGATACTATGGTGAAATGTCTGTCCAGTGCTTCAAGGTTATTCAGTCCTGATTTAATGACAGTAATTCCTTTATTGTTCATTTTCTAATTTATAATTGATACTATAATAGACTTTATTATTCTTCCCATTAATCCAATACAATATTTCACATGTTTACCAATTTAGCTATTCACATGTTTACTTTTTCATACTCTCGTCAAATATTATTATAACTTAATACTTAACACTATAGAATGATCTGAATCAAGCATCACTGAAAACTAGGGAACCCTGGATAGTAATTTTGTCTTAGTACACGAATCTTTAGTAGTGCACATCCATGACTCTGTCACCATAGGACGAATATATGAGGTCCAGTCTGACTCAAATACTCAATCTCTAAACCACTGAGCCAGCATCCAATTGTTGCGTACTGTTGAATAGTCCAATGCGAGTATGAAGCAGCTCTCTACGTATTCCCGGTTTTCAGTGATATTCTGCTAAGATTATTCGTGACGCTAACTTTGAAATTGCGAAATCTCACTAGAAGTTAATTTAACTAAACCGCAAGTATATATGTGAAGTTATTAGGTTGATTATTCGTAAAATGAACAAAATAGTAACCTACAGGATAATTATTTAATGATAAACTAAATAACTCTATGAATGTTACGTACAAACTTGCATTCATGAGTATACGAAATATAACATTCTCCATAAGCCCCATTTACCAATGATAATCATCTACTCTCTATTAACCAATTCCATGAGGCAATTTACGAAGACCTAGTAACAACTCGTGTTTAATGGAGTTCAGCCTAACATAGGTATTCACAATGACAATGCATGTCAGCAACATGATATCACAAATTCACTAAAGTTAGACATGTAAACGATTGAGTGGTAACTCAATGATCTGAAGGTTAAAGATTAAGACGATTCTTGAAAGTTTTAGGTATTACTCTGTAAGGAGATATTTGATGGGCATTAATGATGTGTCTTATACTTAGACTAATCCATTTTCTAATGTTTCTTGCTTCCTAATAGTACCTTAACATGAGTTAACGCTTGACGAATACAGTATCGGTTATGGTATGATCTATTTATTCTAGCTAATCGTTACCTCTAAACTAATTATATGAACAATATTTGATTTGAAAATACTTCGCTTTTAGTTCTATAATATCTCTATTAATTGTATTTATACTCAAACTACACATCGGTTAAGAAAATCACAATATACACCTGATAGTATACAACAATTTCTATGTAGAAACACTTGATAATCAAAATGTTTCATTATTATCCTATTCATATTTAAACTACCCCTTTTTCTATATATCTCAATAATTCTTATTATAAATGATAAAACTCATGATTAAATTGAGATTTAGAATAGAATATAAATATTACTGTGTTTTATTCATACCTTGAAACTGTCATAATTGACTGATTCTACATAATACATTCTCATTGTCACATTGTAATAAAGATTTCGAATAAATGAATAAAATAGAATGATTATGTAATAAAAATTATTGCTTAAAACGAAAAGGACAAGAATATGAAATTCTTTGGGTTTCCTTCATTTTTTATTTTATTTCTTTTAACACATAGATATTGGTAAAAGGAGGCACCAAATACATATGCGCCACACAGATCTCATTTGATATGTATGAGGGCTGTGATACTGCCTGTGTGCCCAGACCGAAACAGATGGTTTACTTAAGGGGCCACAGCCCGAGCCTTTGACCTAAAGGTCTGACCCAAAAGGCAGTGGAGCATTATGAGGAGATGCAGTCCCATGGTAGCCGGTAACCAACGATTGTTTCATACGCCATTTGTTCCCGCAGGATACTGGGGCACATGTGCACCACTGGTTTGGGATCCGGTTAAAGCGCCGGAAATTCACTTACCTTCCCCTCATTTTCGTAGACAACACCCGTGGT